TGGTTTAATTTCAAAGATCGCATTGCTAATTATGATGATAGAAAGGTTTCGCCATTATTAAAAAGAAAAATATGGTTAGTTTGCCCTATTTCAAATATTAATCGTATCGAATCGACCACGTATTATTACTGTGTGGTTCGATTCATTAGAATGATGGTAAATAAAAGTCCAATCAGCAATTTATACTGATTAATATTCCCATCATGTACACGCCCATAAAGAGAAGATCATCATTAAAAATCATTTAACTTCTTATATTGCTATAACCCGCCGGACTGTGTTGTTCTTCGGTAAACATTTCTAATAAGAGCCATCGACCCGAAAATCGGGCTGGTTCGGGTCTGAAATCTCAATCTTTAGGTTCGGGTCGGGTATCTCTATCGCTGACTATTTTTTTCAAATGAGGCGTTTTGGCCACGAGAGACCGTGGTCTGCAAAAAAAAAAAAAAAAAACAGAAGTTGCCTCAACTGTACTGAGCTCTTGCAATGACAATTCCATGAACTCTTAAATAAAATTTTGGGTTTTCTTCGGGCTCGGGCCTGCAAATCCAGTTAATTAGCCGGGCTCTGGTCATGTGTAATACCCACGGGCCTGGGTCGGGCTGGAATTTTTGGGCCCGATGTTATCTCTACTAGAAACTGATAATTGGGAAGCAATATACTTCTTGTATTATATCAACTTTTTGAGTACCTGCCTTTTACCACAATGTTAAAACTCTTTCAGCTCATTCGCAGAAGCTTGTAGCCTACCTCATGCTATACCGACTTGCCGAGCAAAGCCTTTTTCAAAATACAACACAATTGCAGTCACATTATGTATGCATGTTCAAACTGTGGAACAATGGTTGATATAACTGATAATTCTATTAAACAAACTAAATATTACTGAAATAAGAAAATAGGGGATAAAAGGGGTCCCAAGCACAGCAAAGTCATCACAGATGTAACAGAAGTATTGATAACTAAAAAAAAAAAAGAGGCATAACCCACAAAATTTGTAGCTGGAAGAATGTCCAACAGAAGCCTTGTTTAGTTTATTGGAACCAAGCTTAAAGTCAAATTTAAAATGCCACAATTGATGCCAAAAAAAAATTAACGACCCGCGAATTAACTAAAATGCGGCCACGAGCAACGAAGTTACGACCAAAAACCCACCGAAGTAAAAAAAAAAACGGACCATTTATTCATGTCGCCAACTACCCATTGTCCCCTTAGGAAAGCTTGAAAATCCATAGAAAGATAAAAAGATGAAACTTGGCAGGTGGGTAGAGTTGTGTTGGTTTTAACCATCTTTGAAGTTTCGCGTTTCTACATTTAAAGGAGGGGGAATGGGGGAAGCGCATTTTTGATAGGTCGATAATATCTTTGTCGACCAATTTGCGACTACCGTGTTTTTGTGTGTTTGATTGCTGCAATCCGGTGCTTTGTTTGTAATTTGAAGAGTTGTGTTCAAAATAACCGTGTTCTAAAAATATATAATGTCAGAAGTGCAATTCGAAGCCCAATTTTTTCACGTATGACGTAAATGTCTGTAGTCTCGGCGCAGCAGAAACGATGTTCAATGCTCGAAAATCGAAATCTGTGGCCGCACACTGGTCGTTCGGTCGCAATACGTCTTCTGAGTGTCGTTTGTATAGCTTTAACCCCTGGTCGTAGAAAGTTAATTCGTGGTGAAGCGTGTGGAATAAATGCCAATTACGGTGAAAAAATAAACGGGTTAGAAATATTGGTTTTTTATTTTATAGCGGTTTGAATGAAATCGTCCGCAGACTCGCTGCACCACTAGTAGGCTTTGTCAGTTTGACTTCGTTTACAACAAACTTCAAATTTTTTTTGTTGTCTATCGTTCATGCAAGAGTGAACTTCATCCCCGCTCAGGCTCCCAGCCTTCGCACCTTTGGCGCGTCTCACCTGGAGACATTGGCGCTACATACACTCATCTTCTGTTCTACAACGAGATGCGTTGGCTATCCAGGGATTCGAAAGTTCTGAACCGTGTACTCCCGTTACGTCCAATTTACTGAGTGAGGAATGCAGCGGACTTACGGCGAACTACTTCGGCGACCTTATCTACGTCGCGAGGCTTGCGTACACCAGCGACATTTTCGGCTGCCTTAACGTTCTCAAAATTTCACTTGGAAAGACAGGTTTACGATCGCAGAAGCGGCAAAACGAATTAATTCAGTAATCAGTAGTTTATTTTTTCAACATACTGAAAGCAAACTTCATAAACAAATTGCAATAAATAATGCAAAAGCATTTCAGAGTGAAAGGGGTGCGGGAAACCAAAATTAATGAGCATCGGTACAGCGGCCCAGGGGCCAAAAATGTTGCCACCTAGACTGGCGGGTCATGTGAGTGTAATTTAAAAGTTACATTTCATGAACAATAAAATTTAGTTAGATTGTGGTAGCATACGACGAACCGGATTTGGCCCGCGGGCGTAATTTTCCCATGTCAGGTTTAACGACTGACGCGTTTTAACAGTATTGAAGTTACGATGAAAGGCTAGTTAAACGTTTGAAGATTGACTTTTTCAAACAGTATTGAGTTTACAGCGAAATGATAATAAAATTGGTTAAAGATAGACATTTTTTTAACATTATTCATTACTGATTGAAGGCCAAAATTATGATTAATTTACATCATATTTGTTGGAAATAGATCTCAAACATTTAGAGAAATTTAAAATGATAAATTTTTCAACCGAGCCAGTATGGAAGTCGTAGTCGCAAGGCCAACTCAATCATTTTAATAAACACTGAGGCGCCATTGAAAATTCGACTTTGGGAAATTATGTGCGGCAACCTTTCCCAGAGGTGAGGCGTTAAGAATACGCTCCCCGTGCGGGGATAGTCATGTGCGATAGAATTGCTGGACCACTCGCCGTCTTAGAGTGGTTGACGTAACCTCTGGTCGGTTGATCCTACACCCGATATAGGCTGGTAGTCGGACGAGAGGCCGTGATTATATGATATGATAAGCCGTTATATGATTAAGCCGTCTTATTGGTTTTATTCACTCCCGGGATAAACAAGTAATTACTATCTTATCCCCGTCTGTCAAATATTGCACATTGGTTCAAGGAAAAGAAGGTCAGAAGACAGTAAGCTTATCCATTTCTATAACTTTTTTGATTCATGTAGGCGACGTCGACATATTCCATCACTGATAGAGCGATAGGCGAAGCACCCCATTCGCACTATTTCACTATTAGGGAATCATTCATCATCTCAGAGTGGCAATATTGAACATTATAACTGTTACATTCTATGCCATTAATTTTATGAATTCAAGATTTGATAAATTGTTGAAAGTTGCACATAAATATATGTGTAACTGAGATGATCAATATTCTGAGTGTACGCTTAATTGCCAGTGTCATAGCATATACATTAAAAAAACTACACTGCCAAACAAGCTATATGTTTATGATCCGGGTGAATACCTAACACATTGTAAGTCGATGCTACAGAATAGTTTTGTGATATATATTGTTTTTTAATGAAAATTTAACTTTGAAGTGACATTCAATGGGGACCTTGAACTGTAAAGGGTTCATATACGAATGATTAAAGAAGTAGCTATTAATTTTGCTGTAAATTTTAAAACGGCAGTGATGTTTTAAGATTCCACTGCGTATGGTTGGTAATAATTTATCGCAAATATATTTTACAAATCTGACACCTAAAACAGCAGACTATACTTATTAGAAAGTTTGTTTTACAAAGTAGGAAAAAAACAATCAGAATTGTCTAAAAAGTTATTTTGCAGCTCCACTCTACAGCCACTCTACCGTGATTACAACAAGGACTTGTAAATAAGAGAACTGCAATGAGAGAGATAAGCATGAAAACATCAGAGCAAAAAGGTCCAAAGTCATAAAACTATTGCCTGCAAGACAAACAATGCTCTTTGTTTTACAAAAATAAACTTCTCTACACAGTTACTTTACATAAGATTTAAAAGAATGCATACAACTTGAATATGCGTATTTCTTGCAGACTAATCATACCTTATTGTAAGTCAAAATGCGCAACCCAATTAGAATTGATATCTCATAAAATTACTGCTCAGGTAACAAGTACATGAGCAAAAGGACAATTCTTTTTATCATGAATTGGTTTCTTTTATCATGTTTTCAAGTATAGTAGTATTGTTTGCTTCTACGATCACCAAATATTACGATGCATTGTGTAAACATTATGCAGTATCTGCAAATCCTAGACGAAGTTCATATCTATTCTGTATTGTTGGAATGTGCTGTGGTGATATTAGTACAGAAAATAAGACAATCAAGCCCCTAGTTCAAGGCTAGCGCCAAAACTATAAAGGCAGAGGATTCACGTCTAAAAGCCTTCAAGATTTTTTACTTAAGCGAGTATAATTTACCGTGAATTTAGGAATTTAAGTTTATTTGAGTTTAACTGCTGGGCAATTACTAATCAGATAGTCTGGCTTTGTACACGTATTGGAATAGAAACAGATGCCCTATGCCTCCTTCAACTTGTAAGTAAAATATGGCAATTATGAACAATTATTTGCAGAATGAAATTTATAAAACTGAATAAACAATAAAGGGATCGTATTGACCTGAAATCCGAAATAAAGATTACTGGTTGAAATGTTTTTGACTTCTAAATATTCCTCAATTATGGAAATATTCATTTCTTTTGTTTTTAATTTTGTTTGATAGAGGTAGAAGTAGAAGTCATAGGTAGAGTAAGCTATAACTCGGCAATTAAGTAAATGCAAATGAAACAACTGTCCAAACAAATCTACCCTAGTTTAACCAAACCAGACTCTCACCTGGATTTGAGATATATATCAGTGACAGTAGTCAGGGTCGAAACTAAAAATATTTACCAGTTCTTATACTAATGTAACTGATCCATCCATTAAAAATAATTAATTGGGTGTGTACGATTTTTGATTAACTTATTAATGTATAATCTGGACATCCCAATATCATTGTTATTTTAGCCTATTTCGTTGAAAATATGAGTGTAACAATTCAAAGTCAAGCTTCTTCAAATTGTCCACGAAATGAAGTAATTCATTTACATCCCCAACACAAAAGTGTGTTTGTTCACGGATATGGAGGATCATCCGAAAGTGCTGAACATCAAGCACATATCCTCAGCTTGTACATTTACGACGAATCACTCAATATCGACCCAAAGATTGCGGTCATTCCTAACGAAGCACAACGTTTCAATGCTTCTTGCGCTAAAGCAACCACTCATCTGTTAGATTATATAAAGAAAATTGCGAGAGGCGAACAAAGTTCAAAGAGCAACGGGGATGAATGTGTTGAGCTGCTGGTGTATTGCCACAGTAACGGTGCAAAACCAGTTCAGAAGGCTCTTACTCCTGAAAATCTTACAGAATTATGCAAGAAGGAAAATATCCCTGAAATGGAAATAGCCAACTTAATGAGAAGAATAAGAAAGAAAATTGTCGTGATTTCGTTTGGAGGAGTGACTTACATTCCGGGAAACTATGCCAAGGTATGGTAAAACTGAGATCAGCAGCTGATTATAATTCCTGTTTTTAGTCATTCTAAATAAAATACAGCAATAAGGTATACGCAAATTTACTTCTTGTTCTATTAGAGTATATCGACTGCAATCGAATCGAGTTTTTCTACTGTTGCTAAGATAAATTTATATATAGTTTTAACTTAATTTGAGACTGCAGAGAAATTAATTTACATACATAAATATAAGTATAAAATGAATTATATATATATATATATATATATGTCGTTTTTTGTTAAGATTGTCATGAATTTTTGTTCAACAAGCGACAATTTTAGCCAGTTTTGTCATTTTATGAAAGTTGGAGAGCAACCGAAAGATGACGAGGTAAATCCGAAAATTTATGTGAGAGATCCTGCAGTGCCCGAGAGAGAGAAAGAGGTTCCTGCTGGAATATGGAAATCTTTCCCAACAGTTAGCACTGTCTCGGGGGCGGCCAAAGATTTAGCTTCCACATGTAAGTGAAATGCCGTAAAAGATTGAATCGATTTTTTTTGTAATTTGATATTGCATGCAATGATCTGATGGCTGGCGCAATATAGGCCCATTGTTTTTTCTCAGCTTCTTTGATAACCAATATTGGCCATGTAGACCAAATGAAGATTCGTGTCCCAAGTACCAATTGCACAGCACGCTTGAATGTACGTATTGTAAGTTTTGAAGATGAAATAATGGGTTTCATATAAAATTATTTATTCCACCATAAAGACGTTTAAATTAGTGATTTCCTTCTTCCCTTTCCGTTTCAAAATTCTAAATACCGATAATTTTCAAATTTCCATTTTACGTTTATGTAAACCATTTCACACTGTGTGTGATAAATATTATATTGAAGTAAACATCTTTATATTGCATAGCTTGTGGTGGATCGGAGGATCATCCACACTATCTCGAAAACATTCTGAAGAATAAAAAGATGATCTCTTACATAAGAGAAGTTCTGGGATTAGAAGCGGTAGAACAGCTGCCAACATCTAAATTTTTATACAATGAATAAAGTTTTGAAGCATAATTTTTGATAAAATAATTGAATATTAAGTGAAACATGTCTCCAATTTTGGTATTATTAGCTTACCATTTCAATTAGGGTTATTTTAACATCAGTTGAGTGCATTCACTACTAAATATGAGAAACAATTTATATGTGTTGTTTTCAATATGCTTTGATCGATATATATGATTTATAATATTAAAAGAATCAAGACTAGTTATCACTAGTAACAATGTCTATATCAAGTGATTCCTAATTTCCTAATTTTGGCCTGTTTGCTCTATTCCCCCATGATGGTAGATATTTAATATATAAAACTAAATCATCGTTCTATACTTTTTGTAGTCTAAACTGGGTTTTCTCAGGTTTAAGAGCCGGCACAGGGGCGCTTCAGTAGTGTGTGTACCAATATGGAGGTAACTAATTTTGTTTGCCTACTTTATATCAAATTGTGTAAAGGGACAGATCCCTTTGGAAAAGGGGTGTATTCACTTGGATAACACGGACAGTCCAGGAACTCGTAATAGAAGCAAAATGAGGAAAATTGGAATAAAAGTATATATGCCCTAACCCTAACCAGGTATCAACACAGTATCAGAACAGAACTCTAAGTTTTATCAGTCCTGTAATCGAAAATCGGTGCCAGATTATTTTGCCTCAAATTATTCAGATTAGAAGGTAGGAGTCATAAATATTAGGCTAGAATATGTTAACAACCAAGGCGAGAGTCGTAAATTAGGGTATCGTATAGTTCAGTGGTTCCCAAACGTTTAAGGCACCGTCGCCCCCCTACAGTAATTTTACGTTATATTAAACTATATTTTCAGTAAATTATATTCTGTATTTGAAATCGGAGACGAGAATTCCAATCAAAACAGTCCTCGCTCGCGATAATGACAATCGTTAAAATTGCCGATTTTTCCAGCGATGATGATTTGTCTGTTGTGCAGAACAGTCAGTGCATGGCCCATACGAATATTAACAAGAATTTGTCATTTTAAAATAATAATTTCAATGTAAATCACCGTTGCGCCAACTTACAATAAAATATAAGTATTATTGCTCTGGAATATTGCAATCTGCGTACATAAAAATATATTGTATACTGCTCGATTAGATTATTCGCATTTTTCCGAACTTGGTAATTTGTTAAATTTGAGCTGCTCGTGGTTATTTTCAAGATATCATCGTTAGCAAAATGCCAATGTCGACAATAAAATTTTACAATATTACATTGATTAGTTTTGATCAATTGATCTTACCACAATAAGGAAAGAAGTCGTGTGGGATCCGGCGGTAATTCAATAATGGATAATGGAATGGATCAATTTCAGATAACTACGGTGTAGTTTCCGATCGAAAATTCTGAAATGTTGCGATTTAACAACGTCTAAAATACAGTTTTTAATATGTCGTGACACTCCTAAATCAAAATTTATTTACCGTTATATATATATATTTGATGACACTTTGAATTCTTAATCACTTTCTTATTTTGCAGTGGAAATTGGATTTGCATTCAATCCTGGGGTTGTATTTAAGGTCTGGTCCCAGACGATCGCACAAGAACGAGTTTTTCACACTTCACGCACAATTCCGGACGATAAAAAACGGGCGATATCGCCCACTTTGGGAAACGATGGTATAGGTAATATCAGTGTTTTATAACCTATGAGTCGCAACCCACAACTAGGTCGTCTGAAAATCTTGTTTTCGCTTGTTTTTACAACTACTACGGATTTATATCTCAGAAAATTGTACTATTTATAATAACTATAGTAGGCTATATCTGGGGAGTATCACAGCGTACAATCTTAGCGGTTAACCATAAGTAAAGCTACGCTAAGATTTCAAAATTCTTGGAGTATACTCGTAGGTCGCGAGGTTTCACCAAATTTTTTTTCGAAAGAATTTGGGTTTCTTGAAAAAATGTTAGGAAACACATTAACATGTACCACATACTGCATCTATTTGGTTGCTCGTTATTTTGAGTTCGACATGTACGTGAGTAAATAAATGGAGCTTTAATTACGCATTAGAAATTGTAGAAACAGAAAATGAAGCGGAAATGTTATGAAGTGAAACAATGACGCATTGTGGGTTATGCGGTTCAAATTTCATTTAATATCACATTTTCGGTTTGACGAGTTAGTTTAGTTTGGATTTGTTTATCAGTTATTCAGTAAAAAGCTCCAAACCTGTAGTTCAAAACAAGAAGAAACATGATGTGTGTTTCTTTGTTTCTGTTGCTTATTGCGGGATCAAGTCTCGGTAAGAAGGTTTTAAAATATTTGACCAAATTAACGAACAACGGATGCCGATTGGAATATGTTTCGTCTAAATAACATAACCTAGTCCTAAGCTATGGCTTAGTCAAAATTAATAAACTTCATAATGTTACTTCTATACACAGCAAAAATATCACCAAACTCAGAAGATACCTGTGATGGCATATCACACAATTTTGACCTGACGGTAAGTTAAATTATAAATCATTCTTGCGCAGATAATATACACATTGTATAGCAAATTTTCAGCAGCATTAAACCTCGAAATGTTATTCTCGAATTTCATATGTCAATGTTGTGGGAATTCAAGGAAATGTTGCATTTGTTGTAAATAATTTGTAGTATATTATTCTTGCTCTAATTTTATACAATTGATTGTTTAGCATATTTTTTGTTACTTCTTAAAAAACCCTTCACAAAAATGTGAAATAAAGTGTGTTTTACTCTGTTTGTTTCAGTTAACCAGCGAACAAGGTAAGATGTGACTTTTATTACAATATTGATTGGTTTAACGGTCCCAGAATCTTTATTTGGATTCAATTTGAGAGAATCTTTGAATAAATATATATAGCAATCTCATTCGTTTTACATTTTCAAAATCTTCGTACACCAACAGACACACTAAGTATGGGTAAGCTAAAGCAACTTAAATCTATATCAGATTCAGAAATACATCATAAGGTTTGTTAATTCAGATTTGCGAATGCAGTTGGAAGAAAAGCTTACATCATTGTTAATGAATAATTTTGACGGAGATCTTGCAATAAACACTCAAATATTTGAAAATGTTGCACGCACCAACCTAAATCATACAACTACAGATAGAGATGATACCACCGACAATAATGTTGAATATTCTAGTTCCGCGTCTTCTAATGATGTCACAACTGATCCGTTTTATTCAAGGACAAATTTGATAACAGAGAAAACTGAATTGAGTACAAAGAAGGAAATTACGACAGGTTTTAATAATTTTTCTTCATATTTTCAACGTAAATGTAGATCAAGCTACACCAACAACTCGAATTGCAATGCAATATGTATACACAGTGTAGAAGGGAACCAATAAAAATATTGCAATGACAAAAATTTGAAAAAAAAAACTCTTCAAATATGTATGAAATTATGGAAGTGTATTATCGCAAAACCTAACAAATTTGTATCCTAGTCAAAATTATAATTATTACTCAATTCTTATGGTAGTAGCTTATACAATTAGGTATTTTAGTCATTGGTAAGGTATTTAAACTATAATGTCCGTAATATAATACAAACGCGTCATCCATCGATTTCATTACATTCAATTATTAAACCTAATTGACCTCATTTCAAGCACTTACGAAATATACCGACTGGGAATGGCCGAGAAGTACTGATAAATTGATAACAACCGACAAAGATGATATTGGAGATGTGGTGACCACTGACACGGATTCAACTCTTCTTCAGTCTTCCACTTTAACTACTCTCGTTGATAGGAATGAAGGAAGCTCACATTCAGGTATCGGTACTAGCAGAAGATTTCTGTCTTCCTCTTGATCATTATATTTGCAACGTATATTCAATATTATGTAATAATATTATGTTTTATATCAATATCAGATTTACCCGAGGATTGTACAAACATGCACAAGAAAAACGCGAAAACTAAAAACGCTACTGGTGGAGTATTTGATATTTATCCTGAACCAAACGAACGTTCCATTGAAGTTTATTGTGATCTCGTCACCGACGGAGGAGGATGGATTGTAAGCATTGCATTTTGAACAAAGCTAGTATAAGCTTATTAAAAATTATCCTTGCATCAATTTTCAATATTCACTAATCACTCCACTCTCATGAGTGAAAATTTTATAAATCTGCACGGATACGTAAATTTGGCAGAATTTTTGTAACATTTCGTTGTGAATCAATCATTGAATAATATAAGAACAACAGCAAACTTGATTTCAAAGGTGTTTCAACGACGAATGGATGGATCGGAAAATTTTTATAGAAATTATTCTGACTACGTGAAGGGGTTTGGAGAAGCTGATAGAGAAATGTGGCTCGGTTAGTATATTTACTTTTAATATTGTTGGAATATTTGCAATGTAACAATTTTGAATGAAGTTGCGATAAGAAATTGTCAAAAAAATTTAATGTTGATCAAAATGTGCAACTCGGTTGGTTTACTTGCCCAATTCTAAATCCAGAAGTCATAAAATTAAATATTTCCATATTAAATCTTTGAAATTGTATAAAAACATTCAAGTTAACATAAAAATTAAGCACCAATACCATGTATAATGATACCTCATTTGCGCCAATATAAACTTCAGGTCTGGAAACGTTGAATCTGATTACGAATAAATATGATTGTGAACTTCGTGTAGATATGAAAGATTGGGAAAACAACACAGCTTACGCCAAATATGGGTGAGTCGTGTGATAAAAAAATAAAAAATCCAATGAATAACACATAGCTTATATATGTGGGCTGGACTTTGAAAGGCCAATCTGTCACCCTATTTAGGAAAGTCGATATTGACTTCAAGTTTTAGAGTTATTTGAGCACGCACTCGGGAAGAAATGCTAATCAATTCTTTATTAAACTTGGCATCTTGGAATTGTTGTGAATTCGGAATAGCTATTTCTAATATTCAAAATATTTCATATTGATTGAATTAAACTACATCAGCTACAATAATGCGGATAAAAACACTCAAAATAAGATAGAAACGTACCAGACTACTGTAATATTACTAGTACAAACAAAAAATAAATGGGACCTCCTGAAGTATGCGCACCCAAGATGGCGCACAATCTGAACTCAGGTTGTGTACAAAGTTAGGTTTCAGGCTGTGCGACATCTTTGTGCGCATACTTCAGGAGTACCAAATAATGATATACGTTTGACTGCTGTTGATAAATAGTCAAGAAACGAATCTCAAAACCCCTCAGACATACTGTAGAGACGCAGTTGAAGGACAGAAACATGAATAACGCTCTAAATTTCTAGGGTGTTTAAAGTTGGAGATGAAACTAATAAATATCAACTCACTGTGGGGGAATACAGTGGAAATGCGGGAGATTCAATGCGAAATCATTCTACAATGAACTTCACAACGAAAGATTACGACAACGATATCTGGCAAAGTAATTGCGCTCAACGATTCAGAGGCGGTTGGTGGTACAATAAATGCCATCAATCTAACCCAAACGGCCTTTACTTATCAGGAGAATCTGAGTTTGGCGTTGGAATCAGCTGGTTTACCTGGAAAACGCACAGATACTCCCTCAAATTTATTGAGATGAAACTCAGGAAAAAATCTAAAACTATATGATCTCGCGCGAACCTTGCAAAATAAACGATCATGCTGGCGTGTAATGGATATCAGTTTGAATAGACAAAATTTATTGCTGTTAATTTTCATTGAGCATAAATGAGATGAAGCAGTTCAAAAAATATTCATGATTATAATCAATCCCCCCCCCTTTTTTATTCAATATTCGATAAAAACTTGGTAAATAATTCATACTATATATATATATATATATATATATATATATATATATATATATATATACAGTCAAATTACACCGTATCTTCAATACGTATATCTAATATTTTTTAATTTTTTGACTTATTCATGCATGAAAAATGTGGTTTTCAATCTCCCTTGTTAGATTCCTCCTCTTTCCTATTTTTGGACCCTTTATTCCTTACTCCATACGCATAAAACTACTTTATTTCTTCAATCCTCAAACGATTCTTTGCTAGTGTTATGCCCAAGTCGCTCTCTCCTATAGTATATTACATGTTCATGAAAAAGTAAGTAATATATTAATAATAATAAAATATAGATATTAGTAATACCACAGAGAATACAAAGCAAAATTTCTCTCTAAAAATGGCAAAATTCTTCCCTGGGGACAAATTTCTTCTCGGGTGCGGAATTCACTTGAGTATATACCAGTTATTTTGTAAGCAGGCACATGAATATTTATACTAGAGCATTAGTAAATATAGTTCCACAAATTTAATCAAACAAATAGGTTTTTCAGAGTTCAGAATTTAGGTAACAAATACTTCGGCATGGCTATGAAGTGACGAGCTTGTTCGATATCTTCCATCAGTCATTCAATAACAAGTCTCAAGCTTGTAGGTTTGAAATCAAGAACCTAAAACAATAGTTCTCAATCTCAACCTTGTTGCCTAAATTTCTCCCTTTATACTTTTGTACTTATTCGCTATGCATAAAACTACTTTATTTATTAAATTTAACTTTGTTAATCATCTGTTATTTTTCATTGTATTGTAGTTAGTTAATATAAATTGGTTTTTAAGCGAGCTAGTGTTATGCTGAAGTCCCTCTCGTTTTTTTTCCCATATGTGTGAATGGACATCAGTGGCCTAACATGTAGCAAATTTTTGAGCTACCATTTATGGTGATTGATTACCATTTGGGATTGCTGCCTGCATATAAATGGCCTGGCAATTGATGTAAATAAGTGACTTTCGAAGATTTTAAACATTTTTGTCATCATATATATACGTTTGTTCCATATTCAAATATACCCATAATAATATGTCACGGATGCCGTCAGCATATTAGCGAGTTTCGTCCACGCACGCTTCAATCATCTCATTGGCATACTCGATCCGTATAAAACCTGAGAGTACAAGGTTTGATTTGACGATCGCAGCGTGTGTGAAGCACATTTAGTTTCGCTACGTGGTAAAACGGGACGTTGGCTCGAGGGTAGGTGAGTTGAGGTACATAGACAGTGGGTCGAAGATAGGAAGGTAAGAGGGATCGGAACGCGGGCCGGCGATAGAAAGGTTGAGGGAGATATGATGGTAGCACGTAGATAAGTGGTGAGTCTAGGATAGAAGGGTGGGAAAGATAGGGCAGGGTAGTGGGTCGAGGATAGGAAGGTGAGAGAGATAGGACAGCGAACCGGGGATAGAAAGTTTGTATGAGATAAGGCAGTGGGTCGAGGATAGGAAGGTATGAATAGATAGGTGGCTAGTCGAGGATAGGATAGTGAGAGAGATAGTGCAGTGGGTCGAGGATAGAAAGGTTGGGGAGCTGGGGCAATGTGTGGAGGACAAGAATGTTGAGGGAAATGGGACAGCGGGTGTAGGATAGAAAGGTGGAAGTTGATAGGCAGGGCCATTTTGTATCTTGCTCTTCTGTGTTAAAGGTTGCACATCTCTGATTTAGCGTATATATAAAAGACTAAAAATTTTTAAAGTCTGCATATAAACTCAACTAAGGGCAAGCCGCAGTAAACAGTCTGGCGGGCCGTGGGTTGGGCAACCAATATATAAAGCTACAGCTCCTATGACCTACAACCGAGCCGTAGTTGTTGCCGAATATAGGAGATTGAAAACATCGTCCTGAAAACTTTGGTACCGGGATGCATGTATACGATCAATAACTTCTTACAAATTTGAAAATCTATTTATCCATAGTAAAACTAAAACACATTGCATATGAGACGTTGATATAAACGTAAAACATATTTGTTATAAATTTCAATGATCGAGTTGAGTTGTCGGTGTTTTTCCACAGCAACAATGGAATAATGAATAGGATAATAAATAAATAGAATAAAAAATCTTTGGCGCTTAAATATTATACTGAGCTCAACAATGCCATGAACCTCCCAAAAATATAGAAAACTACTTCGATGTAAAATGGAAGTAAATTAAAAAGCTCTCAAATTTATTTTGATTATCGGGAAATAATTTCTAAAATACTATTTTGAGTACAACATGTACGTTAATAAATACATCGACAGTTTGAAAGTTGTATTACCAAAAGATAAAGAGGAAATGTTATGACGTGAAATGATGACGCATGATGGGTTATGTGGTTCAAATATTAGTTGACATTATCATTTTCGGTTTGACGAGTTAGTATGGTTTGATTTTTTCTATCTGTAAATCAGCTACAAAACTTCAAGCTTATAATTCAAAAAAGAAGAAACATGATATATCAATATTTGTTCGTGTTACTTATTGCGTGTTCAAGTCACGGTAAGATGATTTTAAAATATTTGACCTACTTGATGTAAATTAAATACTAAAATTTAATAAAAGTATGTATTTGTTTATCTGTCATAAAACAACTCAATTGTTTACACATAAAAGCTTTCACGTTATTACCCGAATTGAGTAATTTAAAAGGCCGGTTAGAACATTTGTTGTCTAGATAACGTAAATTAAACTACGGTTTAGTCCAAATTGACAAACTTCATAATGTTATTCCTGTAAACAGCAAAAATATCGACAAACTCAGAAGATCAGTATGATGGCATATCATACAATTTTGACTTTACGGTAAGTTGAATTACTTATGTTTTATTGTTGTTTTATGAGTACGATCACCGAAAAATGCGTTAATACTATTAACTTAGCATAGATGATTATCGCACAGATTATATACACATTGAATAACAAATTTTCAGTAGCAATAAACCGCAAAATGTTATTTTTTGAATTTCTTACGTCGGTGTCAGCATTTAATATATATATAGGCTACATGTAGAATACGATCATTTGTGAAGTCGTAACACCTTGGGTGTTCGAGGAAATGTTGCATCTGTTGTTCATAATTTGGTAGTATATTAACCTTGCTTTATTTTAATCTAATTGATTGTTGAGCATATGTTTTTTTACTTCTCAAGTGACCCCTTTACAACACAGATAAAATAATTTACGTTTTACTCTGTTTGTTTCAGTTCTCAAGTGAACAAGGTAAGATGTGTTTTTTATACTTATATTGATTTGTTTAACGGCCCCAGAATCGGTTTTTATTTTGATTCAATTTGAAAGGATTTTTGAATAAGTATATATCTCAATCTCAATATGAGTAAACTAAAGCAGCTTAATTTATTCTACACCCGATTCAATTTTTTTTTTAATTCAGATTTGCGAATGCAGTTGGAGGAAAAGCTTACATCAATTTTAATGAACATTTTTGATGGAGATCTTGTAATAAACACTCAAATATTTGAAAATGTCGAACGCTCCAACCTAATTCCAACAACAACAGATAGAGATGGTACCACCGACAATAATGCTGTATATTCTAGTTCCCCGTCTCCTAATGATGTCATAACTAATCCGCTCTATTCAGCGGCAAATGGAATACACGAGAAAGCTGCATTGAGTACAAGGATGGAAATTACGACAGGTTCAATCAATTTTTTTTTGACGCTTATGAGCATACGTGTAGATCAGGCAATATCAAATACTCAAATTACATTAATATATATACACAGTGTGGAAAAGAAACAATTATAATTTTGCAACTCTGAAATTTGCGAATATGAAAATTTGTTAAATATATCATGAGTCTAACAAATTTCTATGCTATACCAAATTTTAATTGTTAATTCAATATAGGTAAATCTAAGCAATTGATAAAGTATTTGAACTATAATGTCTGTAATATAATAAGAACACGTCATCTATCGATTCGATTAACAATCTATTTGATCCTATTTCAGGCACTAACGAAATATACTTGGGGATGGCCGCTTAGTACTGACCAATTGATAACAACCGACAAAGATGATATTGGACATAGAGTGACCACTGACACGGATTCAACTCCTATTCAGTCTTCCACATTATCAACCTTCGTTGATAGGACTAGAGGAAGCTCACTTTCAGGTATCTGTAGGCTACCAGCAAAACATTTCTGCCTTCCTCTTGATCACTAAAATAAATATCATGTTTATGTCAATACCAGAATTACCCGAGGATTGCACAAACATGCACAAGAAAAACGCAAAAATTAAAAACGATACCATTCCAAGCAAAAGTTGAATTCCATAAATTTTTTTAAAAGTGTAGTGAAAGTAATTTTTTTTTTTTTTTTTATATCAAAAGACATTGGAATTTTATTGGACTGCATTCTTTTCACCGAAAAAGTCAAAATTCCACCCAGGTTTTTGATGGTTTTTGAAAAATGGCCTAAAATGTAGAAATTTTGGTATAATTGACATATTTTGTGATGATTCGTGACACAAAGTGTTTGATTGTGCAATACAGTTATTTCATATGAAATAGACGCACTAGATTTAAATATTTTTTATTGGAGAGTTCTTTAATATGTATTAACGTCCTTTTTTTCTCTAAGACATTGTTATCATTAGCTTTATGTACCATATATGTGCAGAAAAGCATGTTGCATTACGCTACACTCTTTTAAATAAAAAATGCCCGAATATATATATTGAGAAGATCAAAAGTTACAATTAGATTCGATACAATAAACCATTTTCGTCTTATCTTCTCAGCTATGTATCAACAACAATACAATAATTTTAAGTTATTCATAATTTTGGGATTCATAATGGTACTTTTCTACCAGATACACAACCATGTTGAGTCTTATAGGAGTATCAATTGAGTAATTAAATAATATATAGAGTATTTTATCCAATTTTTGAGCTTGTTGGGGATTTCAATGAATGTCATTTTTCTGTGGCAATTCAATTAATGCTTTGCACCTATGTTGTTAATGAATATATTTCACTCATTATTTTAATTTCGAATTGCCCTGAAATATAGTTAAGAGCAGGAATTTGTGAAAAATATGTATTTTGTAAGTTGCAATATTTATGAAACATCTCAGTATAAATAAATGAGATGTTTTACAGATACAAAAATTTAATCTTATTGTTCTCTAACAAAATTTGGAAATGCTGGTGTTTACCTGTTGCTGTCAACATTTATACATTCATTCACACTGCTCTTCTATCTTCAATAGAATATGAAATGTACAATGAAGAAATAAACAGACTGAAACACGAAGGTGAGTTGCTGTTTTAATTTCTGAAATTTGTATATATGTTTTACTTGGCCGGTTAGAGATTGAGTTCGTTACTTGATTCTGAATAAAAAAAAATACCATGTTTTCCATTATACATACTTTTATAAATTATTTTATTTCAAAATTATTGCAAAATAATATATTTTTATCATATCATTGCTTATTTTATAATACAAGTTTCCAAAGCTGATTGTATTTCGTATCGAGCATATCCCCATATTTGCATTCAAAATTCCAAATTACTTTAGGTTTGTTAAAATACCAATTTGTTGTGTTTTCCAGTTTCTTCTACTATTTGATATTATAACATAGTTTTAACATCTATTTCAGTGACTGAAGCGAAAAAGTTAATAGAAAACTATAAGATTGATACTGATGCTTCAACAGAAAAACTCAATTTAGACAAAGATATCAAAAAATACTTAGAGAGAAGTAAGCAATCAAACTATTTACATTCCACACAAATGCCAATTAATAGTTCAGTGACACCAAACACGAAGCAAATTTTATTTTTAACTTTAACTTGGTTGTTCAAAAAATATAGGTATGTAAGAATGTAATGTAGAATGAAAGAAAATAGTTTTAGGAATACTTTATATCCACTTACCGTTACCGTTTCATGGACGTATTAAATGTGTCATTAATTATTCGATTATGCAGTACCTCTATCGTCCATAGTTAGCATTCGACATAGTCATAATTTTTATTGACAAAATTATTATTACAAAATTAATATTCAGGTCGTTATTTGCCGGATAGTTGTCGAGGGTTACACAAACTCAATTTATTTCTTGGAATGAAACCGGAGAAGTTTTTGGAATCTACCGTACACCGGTATCTGAAAAGATTTTACCGTGACTTGATGACAGATGACGGAGGATGGGTTGTGAGTTGAATCGATTTATTGTTATTCTGATTGAACCATTTTGTAATGTATTTTTCTATTATCTTACAAAATACTTAAAAACTTTCGATCCATGAAATAATTTTCTCGATCCTAGCTCCTTAACTGGAAATAATGACTTGTTTGTTTAAAGCAGGGGTGGCCAACCTTTCACATACCATGCGCCACGTTTAAAACATAATGTTTCAGATGCGCCGTAAATCTCATGTATTCCCACGCCTAATGTCCGCTTCTTGTGTCCACTCATTCAGAGAATTACGGAATCACTGAATTAAACACTGAATGAATAAATTACAATGACAGCCGCATATATATAGTTAACTCAACGAAGATTCTCGTATCCACGCAAAAATTCGAGCAATTTACGATAAACAGATTACGATTGATTACGAAACAGGGAACCATTGTGACGCCATGCTTCAAGTAAAAACTACAGCCTTCCTGAAAGTAGGAGAAAAACGCATTCTGTCTTAGTTATGAGCATTACGCAATAAAGCTGTTTTTAACAACGAAGAGAAAAAGGTACGATTAAGAAGTAAAGTTAGGCGTAATAGGCCTTTAGTATCAATATCTACTCTACTCTACCCTCGATTCTAATTGGCCTTTGCTAATCAGCTGTTTGGCCTAGCGTCGCGTGATTTCACTCCAGGCTTCTTCGAGATTAGTACCTGCGTCACAGCAAGCGATTTTACGCTTTGCTTTTGTTGACAACGGTCATTTGAAGTTTGGATGAAAAAGGCGGTATTTAGGGGTCATTTTCAGCATGTTGTGGGTTGATTTATATTAAATTTTTTAGACTTGGGCAATTCAATTGGTTGTTCAATGGTTATTGGGAGATATTTGGGAAGTCTGGGCAATGGAAAATCCATGTCTCAAGCTGATAAATGACGATTTTCTATTTTTCCAGAAGTTCTGAACTTTTTACTTCAGTAGGAAAAAAATAGTAAATTTTACTAATTTTTGCTAAAAGTCCAGAATGAATGTCATAAAGTCCGTCCAAAAGCTAACGTCGATAATCGCCTGTTGTTTCTAATTCCAACAAGCCGTAAGTGGGCGACGTGGAGTAAGGAGAATAGATTTTAGGTACAATCAAAAGTCACCATGTAAATTGCAAAAAAACGGCTTGGGGTGGAGAAGCCAAGTGCTATTAACAATTTTGGCATGAAAAGGGTTAAAGATGCAATGCGCCACCTCTAATCATGCAATGCGCCACGTTTGGCGCATGCGCCATAGGTAGGCTTACCATATCTCTGAAGCCAAAAAACCGGGACGGCGCGGATTGGACAAGTCAAACTTGGTTCGATTCTGGGGGTTAGTAATAGTTTAAACGCTTTCCTACCATTGTGGGTAGATTGCAGGCATCAAAATTAGCTGTAAATCTTATTACGAAATCCTCGGTTTGACAAATAAAAATAAACTCTCTTTCTATTGGTCTTCGCTTCAAATAATGGGAATTGTTCTCATTCTTAAACTCATCAGAAAACTTGCACTTTGTTTCCGGCATTTTGATGATTCAACGACATTACAGTTGGGTGTTAAATTAACACATGGTTCATACTTCATGTCATGAAGTGAGACGCAAATCATTGGTAAATCGGCTGCCTCCATTAAAAATAATTTTTTTTGTAATATTATCGAATAGAAAAACTATTATGACTGTCATACTGCAAAACCGGGACATTTAAGTCTATCGCCGGGACGGCAGAAAAACATGCTAAAACTGGGACTGTCCCGGCTGAACCGGGACGTATGGTAAGCCTAGCCATAGGTTGGCCACCCCTGGTTTACTTTAAAGTCTTGTTTCAATCGCTATCTTCCGATATCTTTATCCCAAGTATATATACCGATTGAAATATATTTGAAAGTGTAATGTTTTTACAAAGGTATTTCAACGTCGAATGGATGGCTCTGAAAACTTTTATCGTGAATGGTATTATTATAAAAAATGGATTTGGAAATACAACTGGAGAATTTTGGCTTGGTAAGTTTTTTTTTATTCGCTTAAATAGTAAACAAATTTTTATCCTGAACTAGTTCTTGAAAATGCTGTCAACTGAAAAATGTTAGATATATATTTCATTCATTCCAATTTTACATATTCATTTTGTTTCCTGTCAGTGTTTGACGCAATATTCTTGATCATAGTATAAAACATGAAATTCATTCAAACCACAAACTCGATGACGATATTTTACAAGCTGTTGAAAATGAAAATTCACTATTCGCAACTCTTAATCGTAACGACGAAAAACGATAAGGAGAATAGCGGGGGAAACGATTCTGATAATCTTTATTTCTGGTTACTGTGGCAACTTTTCCATCTTATTAACCAAACGATATATTGAGGAAATCCATTCTGATAAACGTCCGTGGCACACAAAAATTTACCAAATTGCACTTGTGTGGTGAAATTTTGTATAACGTACAACAGTACGCTAAATGCATTCGTATCAGACAAGGACGCGGGATCAACCCGTATAAAGGTTAATGATATACATCATCAAGGCAGGCTATTATAATAAATCTTGTATCTGAAATTAAGTTTTTAGGTCTTGCATTTCCAGAACATTCTCAATCGGTGATTCTTCAACAAATTATCGTTTAACGATTGGTCAATACAGTGGAAATGCTGGGGATTCACTTAGACATTCCCAACATCAAGGACAATCTTTCACAACTAGAGACGAAGATCATGACTCTACATCTGGCAACTGTGCTGTGAATTTTGAGGGAGCGTTCAGGTACGGAGGTTGTCATGCGACTAATTTGAATGAGCTGTATATCGCAGGAGGAAAAGCAGAATACGGAATATCTGTTGTCTGGTGGACCTGGAAAGGCCATATTCAGTTCAAGTGGTGTCGTTATGTTTGCTCCGAGCGGGTGTCTGATAAATATGCCAATAAAAGCAAAGCTCAAATGTTATGGTTCGCTAAATAGCTCTAAACAATGCCAAATTGTAAGCATGTATTCCCCACAAAAAAGATAAAAAGCCAGTCGAGACTGCTACGAACATCATGCAACCTCACTACCGTGTTTTCCCAAAAATAAGACTGCCCCTTCTTTTAATTTTCTTTCGAAAAATAACACTAGCTCTAATTTTCTGGCGATGACTTTTATTTTCATTTATAAAAAAACAAAATTACAAAGTAGGGATTACGAGATTTTCAAATACACAAAATATGAAAACCGATATCCATTTACTTATACTTATATCCATTTACTTAATATAAATAAACGAAATTGCAACATAATTAAGTGGTGTACTTTTGTATATACGTGTAATTCGGATTGACTCGAAACCAGATGTTCAGGACGTGGCTCCAATTCATTGCATTGTATTCGCAATAACGCAATATCTATTTTTAACAAACGGCCATTTATTTTTAGCGATGTTGTGGGCTACAATATAATTGGTCAATAACGTAGATTCGCTTTCATTTGACGTTTTCTTTTGTTTGGCTTTTTCATGAATTTAGGTATTTAACGTAGAATTAAATTTTGAAATTCACGCTCTTACTGACGGTATTTTAAAGAATGCTTCGTCTCATAATAGCGCCCAATGATGTATTACGTCAGAACTGGAATATTTTGTTGGCAAGGAAGACAAATCGCTGAAGTTTAAATCTTTTCAATAAATAAATAGGACGGTTGCCATATACCGTATCTAAAAAACGCCTGTTTTCGGTGACTAGTTGTCGTTTTGTGATATCTCTTGGCACAAAATGGTCAAGTCAGAAAATGTTATTGCTGTGGGTCGCGTTATAATGCATTATTGTTTCTAACCTATATACTGTTATTTAAAAAGGCATCTTCAGATTATATCAAATGAACTGATTCCGAATCGTCAATTCGGTTCCTTTTCCACTTTCTTATGAAGATATCACAATCTGACGTCAGCCACGTACGGCATTTTGATCAAACCCGCTCAGCAAAAATATGCAAAAAGGAGAATTTCAAGCAAATTATCATAAGCTTCATCTTTTCATTATATAGTATCAAGATCAATGTAGCCTTGGAAAATGTAAGAATACCACATGCGATGGAGGAGCTACGTCGAAAGACATCACACAGAAAGTTACACGACATAATAATTGCATTAATTAGTGGAGATAAGTTTTATTTAAAGCGAAAGTGTGAACACGCCTGACTATAAACTTTCAATTTGCAATAAATTATATCATATATCATATATAATTTAATGCTGTTATAGAAATAGTCATTGCCTTCAGATCTCAAAGTCTCTCTATAGAGCTCGTACTGTGATAATTCGTGAAAGCATGCTGATGCACAAATTGAGAATATTTGTTCATCGTGACTTATTAGTTATATCTACGTACTAATCGATTATGCTTCTAATACGTTTGCTGTTCTGAACAGTTTTCGATGTTAAAAGTTGCCCTGTTTTCAAACGCTCCTTCAAACACCTACCAACCACCATTATCAAAAATTGCGGCGAAATTAATTAAAGGAAATTATGCACAAACATTTACCCGATGCCAGGGGATATTTCAAACATGCCAAGAGTTTGCTGATAAATGTCATTTAAACAAACTTTTTGTTTTGATAGAATGAAAATCTCCAAAAGAAAATCTTGGTAAAACAAATCCGTTGTGTAGTAAATGGTCCAAAAAAATTGCACAAATGAGGTGGTCACAGCCGATCAAAATACGTGTTCGAACGTTTAAAATGAATGTCTGATATAATATCTGCCAAATTAAGCCAAATCAAATTATTGCCAATCATATTTAAATCGCGCAACCCCTGGGTGCGAGTTGCGTGTGCCCCAATTTAATGATGCATTAAAGATTAAACAATTGTAGTATTTTAATGCGCATATGCAAAAAAACTATGAGCGATCCTCAAAGTTATTAAAAGAGAATTAAGAGATTCAGTAGGTAGGTATTATAAAAGATTGGAAAGCACTGTCTTGAACTTTGTCATTTTATCCTGACTAACTGCGTCAGCCACCCAAAATTTGAAACCTAGTCCTGAATTCCGACGACAGCCTGCCTGCTGTCCCATCTGTCCGCTGCGATTTCTGGAAGTACTTAATCCCATGAATGATCGTGCATAATCAAATTTCTGTAACATATGCACGTTCCACTGCCTCACACTTTTCCAGTGAACCATTCCAACCTTGACAAGTTCTCCGTCCTCCGCTTTACACACCTACATTTCACAATTTACATTATATTGATTGAGTTGTCGGAGACGTTTCAGCATACGCAAATTATGTTGAATGTTTTCTATCATTTGTATGATCTTATCGAGGAACTAAAATGATAGATTATCTGTATTTCCCTAAGATTGGATACTAATTCATAAAATATTGATATATTACATTGAGACCAAATTCAGGTGGGTGCTTTGTAAGCCACTTTTCGGTAGTTCGTCCCAATTAGAAGATATCGAATTCACTTCATTTAGTACTCTGGTGTTTATGCCATCAATAAATCATTTACGCTATCGAAGTAAAGTTAAATTTTTGATGAAATAAAAATACTTTCAAAAAAAAATTTAAATAAATATATGCGTCCATATTCAATTAAAAAATTGATAAAACTTTTATGGTAACTTCTTTTGTACATAATTTTATGCAGTTTTGAAACCATATTATGTTTTATCTTTTTACGCCAAAACACTTTCAAATACAGTTATCGTTAAAAATCTACGAATCATAGTCTAGAGCGAACAATACAGTTTAACATTAGAATAAACATGAAAATAGCTTATAACAATTGAAGTGGAAACTGAAGAGAACGATACGCCGATGCAAATATAGAAATGTAGCTTAAAATATTCACTGAGGTTAGGAGGCATTTTGGGGTTTTCGATTTGATGTAAATATGAGGCAACGCGATAACTCGCCCGTATGCACATCTAGGCTAGTTTCCACGTGAAGCTATCTAGTACAGTTACTGAAATAAATTTGACGTATACTTAGGGTCAAAAACCCACAAATCGTCCAGTCACATCATTTCGTTTTGCTTTATTTCCGTTTATTGACATTACATTATATATATGAAGTAAAAGTTTTACAACGTATTCACATATATTTAATGCGATAGGTGAACCGTATTATTGCATATAAAGGATCATAACACGGCCCATCGCAACATTCACTTTATTGGTGATTTTATGCCAAGTTGTAAACGAGGGAGAGGCGAAAGGCATGTTAAAGAAACAAGCTGATATTTTTGGGTCGCGTCGTTTAGATATTGACCCAAGGAGGTACAATGTGTTCACATTATATTGTTCTATATATTATGACTTGGACACTGGCATGCTTCGTACAAGTTAGTTTTATCTCTTATAGATAGATAAATCTTAAAGTCAAATATGGTCACAGCATCCCGTTTGACTCCTCTTGAAGAAATACACGAAAGATGTTGAGCACATAAAACACAACTGTCCAAACAAATCTACCCTAGTTTAACCAAACCAGACTCTTACCTGGATTTGAGATTTATATCAGTGACAGTAGTCAGGGTCGAAACTAAAAATATTTACCAGTTCTTATACTAATGTAACTGATCCATCCATTAAAAATAATTAATTGGGTGTGTACGATTTTTGATTAACTTATTAATGTATAATCTGGACATCCCAATATCATTGGTATTTTAGCCTATTTCGTTGAAAATATGAGTGTAACAATTCAAAGTCAAGCTTCTTCAAATTGTCCACGAAATGAAGTAATTCATTTACATCCCCAACACAAAAGTGTGTTTGTTCACGGATATGGAGGATCATCCGAAAGTGCTGAACATCAAGCACATATCCTCAGCTCGTACATTTACGACGAATCACTCAATATCGACCCAAAGATTGCGGTCATTCCTAACGGAGCACAACGTTTCAATGCTTCTTGCGCTAAAGCAACCACTCATCTGTTAGATTATATAAAGAAAATTGCAAGAGGCGAACAAAGTTCAAAGAGCAACGGGGATGAATGTGTTGAGCTGCTGGTGTATTGCCACAGTAACGGTGCGAAACCAGTTCAGAAGGCTCTTACTCCTGAAAAGCTTACAGAATTATGCAAGAAGGAAAATATCCCTGAAATGGAAATAGACAATTTAATGAGAAGAATAAGAAAGAAAATTGTCGTGATTTCGTTTGGAGGAGTGACTTACATTCCGGGAAACTATGCCAAGGTATGGTAAAACTGAGATCAGCAGCTGATTATAATTCCTGTTTTTAGTCATTCTAAATAAAATACAGCAATAAGGTATACGCAAATTTACTACTTGTTCTATTAGAGTATATCGACTGCAATTGAACCGAGTTTTCTACTGTTGCTAAGATAAATTTATATATAGTTTTAACTTACTGTGCTTACCTTTAATAAGGATTTGAGACTGCAGAGAAATTAATTTACATACATAAATATAAGTTTAAAATGAATTATATATATATATGTCGTTTTTTGTTAAGATTGTCATGAATTTTTGTTCAACAAGCGACTATTTTAGCCAGTTTTGTCATTTTATGGAAGTTGGAAAGCAACCGAAAGATGACGAGGCAAATCCGAAAATTTATGTGAGAGATCCTGCAATGCCCGAGAGAGAGAGAGAGGTTTCTGCTGGAATATGGGAATATTTCCCAACAGTTAGCACTGTCTCGGGGGCGGCCAAAGATTTAGCTTCTAAATGTAAGTGAAACGCCGGAAAGACTGAATCGTTTTTTTTTGTAATTTGATACCGCATGCAATGCTCTGATGGCTGGGGCGATATAGGCCTATTGTTTTTTCTCAGCTTCTTTGATAACCAATATTGGCCACATAGACCAAATGAAGATTCGTGTCCCAAGTAACAATTGCACAGCACGCTTGAATGTTCGTATTGTAGTAAGTTTTGAAGATGAAATAATGGGTTTCATATAAAATTATTTATTCCACCCTAAAGACGTTTCAAATAGTGATTTCCTTCTTCCCTTTTCGGTTTAAAATTCTAAATACCGATATTTTTCAAATTTTCATTTTACGTTTATGTAAACCATTTCACACTGCGTGTGATAAATATTATATTGAAGTAAACATTTTTATATTGCATAGCTTGTTGTGAATCGGAGAATCATCCACACTATCTCGGAAGCATTCTGAAGAATAAAAAGATGATCTGTTACATAAGAGAAGTTCTGGGATTAAAAGCGGTAGAACATCTAAACTAAATGGTTCCATTACATTTGAACCCACGTACATTTGAACCCACGACAATTGCACCTGCATGCCATTGCACCTATGGAAATTTTTTTGGTTTTACGGATATTTGTACTCATACTAACCTAACCCATGGGTTTTAGCACCCGCATATTGATTGAACCCGCAGATATACACATGGGTTCAAATGTACATGGGTTCAAATGTACGGTCACCAAACTAAATATACAATGAATAAAGTTTTAAAGCATAATTTTTGATAAAATAATTGTAAAACATTTTTGGTATTATAAGCTTACGATTTTAAATAAGGGTTATTTTAACATCAGTTGAGTGCATTCACTACTAAATATGAGAAACAATTTATATGTGTTGTTTTCAATATGCTTTGATCGATATATATGATTTTATAATATTAAAAGAATCAAGACTAGTTATCACTAGTAACAAATGTCTATATCAAGTGATTCCTAATTTCATAATTTTTCGATGTTTTAGCCTGTTTACTCTATTCCCCCATGATGGTAGATATTTAATATATAAAACTAAATCATCGTTCTATACTTTTTGTAGTTTAAACTGGGTTTTCTCAGGTTTAAGAGCCGGCACAGGGACGCTCCAGTAGTGTGTGTACCAATATTGAGGTAACTAATTTTGTTCGCCTACTTTACATCAAATTGTGTAAAGAGACGGATGCCTTTGGAAAAGGGGGTGTATTCACTTACACTTAGATAACACGGACAGTCCCTGAACTCGTAATAGAAGCAAAATGAGGAAAATTGGAATAAAAGTATATATGCCCTAACCCTAACCTGGTACCAACACTACTTGAGTATCAGAACAGAACTCTGAGTTTTATCAGTCCTGTAATCGAAAATCGGTGACAGAATATTTTGCCTCAAATTATTCAGATTAGAAGGTGGGAGTCATAAGTATTAGGCTAGAATATGTTAACAACCAGAGCGAGAGTCGTGAATTAGGGTATCGTATAGATTAGTGGTTCCCAAACTTTTAAGGCATCGTCGCCCCCTTACAGTAATTTACATTATATTAAACTATATTTTCAGTAAATTACATTCTGTATTTGAAATCGGATACGAAAATTCCGATCAAAACAGTCCTCGCTCGCGATAATGACAATCGTTAAAATTGCTGATTTTTTCAGCGATGATGATTTGTCTGTTGTGCAGAACAGTCAGTTCATTGCCGATACGAATATTAACAAGAATTTGTCATTTTAAAATAATAGTTTCAATGTAAATGACCGTTGGGCCTACTTACAATAAAATGAAAGTATTTTTGCTCTGAAATACTGCAAGCTGCGTACATAAAATGTATTGTATACTGCTCGATTAGAATTATTCGCATTTTCCGATCTTGATAATTTGTTAAATTTAAGCCGCTCGCGGTTATTATCAAGATATCACCGTTAGCAAAATGCCAATGTCGACAATAAAATTTTACAACACAACATTGATTAGTTTTGATCAATTTATCACAATATGGAAAGAAGTCGTGTGGAATCCGGCGGTAATTCAATAATGGATAATGGAATGGATCAACTTCAGATAACTGCGGTGTAGTTTCCGATCGAAAATTCCGAAATTTTGCAATTTAATTTCAATTTCGTCTGCAAAATCTTGTTTTGCTTGTTTTTACAACTATTAAGGGATTTATATCTCAGTAAATTGTACTATTTTTTGAGTATACTCGTAGGTCGCGAGGTTTCACCAAATTTATTTTCGAAAGAATTTGGGTTGCTTGAAAAAACGTTAGGAACCTCATTAACATGACTGTACCAAATACTGCATCTATTTGGTTACTCTAACCCAGGGGTCGGCAACCTACAGCCCGCGGGCCCGATTTAAATATAATTAGATAAATGGCAACAAAACGCAGAAAAGTTGATGCTAAGTGCAAAGGGTTCAATGGCGCCGAGAACATTCAAATGGAATTTTTTGAGATGCAATGCAATGAGGAAATAAATCTATATTCTATTCTAGAGATTTCTCGCTGCATGATTTTCATTATAAAAAGTATCATCCGTTCGGTTTTCAATTTTCTTAAAAAATGTGCGCCCCGTCAATGACTTGCAACCCTTCATTTTGGCCCGCAAGTGACAAAAGGTTGCCGACCCCTGCCTAACCTTTCATACACGATATTCTTAGTTTCTATCCGATGCATAATCCAGAAATTACATCACCTATATATCACAATAAAACACATGGTTTTCAACGAGCAAAAGAGTGGCCACGTCGATGAGAAATAAAACTGTTTACATTCTACTTCGTCAACTGCCTCAAACTCAATAACCGCCACTATTCTGAACCGAATTGATTTTTTAATTCCAATTGTGGTATAAATACGCTTGAGTGAATATTTCCCGCTACGACTCCGAGTTACATGGTATAAGTGCGTATTCACGTCTTGTACTTTGCTCACCCGAATAAAACTCTTCAATCCATTCACTAACAACTGACTGTAGGAACACTGGAAAGTCAATGGCTCAAATGAACAGATTGTTAAATTTATTGGACACGTAGTGGACATAACGATCGTTTTGTTGTTATGTTGTTCTCAGTCTTGTTCTTGTTGTTGTGTGACACGTTTTGAAAAAATCGCCTTTCTCTTTGATTACTGGACCAATTGCTTTGAAATTTCCAGTGGGTAAAGATGGAATTTTTCTCCAAAGGGCTATTACTTTTTTTTTTGCTATGACGTCATCAAAATTATGTGGCTCTACGTGTCCATATATTTGAGCATAGATCTCTTGTTTTAGATGAGGTGATATTATCTAAATCGTTATTTTGAGTTCGACATGTACGTAAGTAAATAAATGGAGCTTTAATTACGCATTAGAAATTGTAGAAACAGAAGGTGAAGCGGAAATGTTATGAAGGGAAACAATGACGCTTGCTGGGTTATGCGGTTCAAATTTTGATTAATATCACATTTTCGGTTTGACGAGTTAGTTTAGTTTGGATTTGTTTATCAGTTATTCAGTAAAAAGCTCCAAACCTGTAGTTCAAAACAAGAAGAAACATGATGTGTCGTTCTTTGTTTCTGTTGCTTATTGCGGGATCAAGTCTCGGTAAGAAGGTTTTAAAATATTTGACCAAATTAACGAACAACGGATGCCGATTGGAATATGTTTCGTCTAAATAACATAACCTAGTCCTAAGCTATGGCTTAGTCAAAATTAATAAACTTCATAATGTTACTTCTATACACAGCAAAAATATCGCCAAACTCAGAAGATACCTGTGATGGCATATCACACAATTTTGACTTGACGGTAAGTTAAATTATTTATGTATTATTGCAATTTTATAAATACAATCACCAAAACGTGTGTAAATACTATTAACCTAGCAAAAATCATTCTTGCGCAGATAATATACACGTTGTATAACAAATTTTCAGCAGCATTAAACCTCAAAATGTTATTTCTCGAATTTCATATGTCAATGTTGTGGGAATTCAAGGAAATGTTGCATCTGTTGTAAATAATTTGTAGTATATTATTCTTGCTCTAATTTTATACAATTGATTGTTTAGCATATTTTTTGTTACTCCTTAAAAAACCCTTCACAAAAATGTGAAATAAAGTGTGTTTTACTCTGTTTGTTTCAGTTAACCAGCGAACAAGGTAAGATGTGACTTTTATTACAATATTGATTGGTTTAACGGTCCCAGAATCTTTATTTGGATTCAATTTGAGAGAATCTTTGAATAAATATATATATCAATCTCATTCGTTTTACATTTTCAAAATCTTTGTACACCAACAGACACACTAAGTATGGGTAAGCTAAAGCAACTTAAATCTATATCAGATTCAGAAATACATCAGAAGGTTTGTTAATTCAGATTTGCGAATGCAGTTGGAAGAAAAGCTTACATCATTGTTAATGAATAATTTTGACGGAGATCTTGTAATAAACACTCAAATATTTGAAAATGTTGCACGCACCAACCTAAATCATACAACTACAGATAGAGATGATACCACCGACAATAATGTTGAATATTCTAGTTCCGCGTCTTCTAATGATGTCACAACTGATCCGTTTTATTCAAGGACAAATTTGATAACAGAGAAAACCGAATTGAGTACAAAGAAGGAAATTACGACAGGTTTTAATAATTTTTCTTCATATTTTCAACGTAAATGTAGATCGAGCTACACCAACAACTCGAATTGCAATGCAATATGTATACACAGTGTAGAAGGGAACCAATAAAAATATTGCAATGACAAAAATTTGAAAAAAAAAACTCTTCAAATATGTATGAAATTATGGAAGTGTATTATCGCAAAACCTAACAAATTTGTATCCTAGTCAAAATTATAATTATTACTCAATTCTTATGGTAGTAGCTTATACAATTTAGGTATTTTAGTCATTTGGTAAGGTATTTAAACTATGATGTCCGTAATATAATACGAACGCGTCATCCATCGATTTCATTACATTCAATTATTAAACCTAATTGACCTCATTTCAAGCACTTACGAAATATACCGACTGGGAATGGCCGAGAAGTACTGACAAATTGATAACAACCGACAAAGATGATATTGGAGATGTGGTGACCACTGACACGGATTCAACTCTTCTTCAGTCTTCCACTTTAACTACTCTCGTTAATAGGAATGAAGGAAGCTCACATTCAGGTATCGGTACTAGCAGAACATTTCTGTCTTCATCTTGATCATTATATTTGCAACGTATATTCAATGTTATGTAATAATATTATGTTTTATATCAATATCAGATTTACCCGAGGATTGTACAAACATGCACAAGAAAAACGCGAAAACTAAAAACGCTACTGGTGGAGTATTTGATATTTATCCTGAACTAAACGAAAGTTCCATTGAAGTTTATTGTGATCTCGTCACCGACGGAGGAGGATGGATTGTAAGCTTTGCATTTTGAACAAAGCTAGTATAAGCTGATTAAAAATTATCCCTTGTATCAATTTTCAATATTCACTAATCACTCCACTCTCATGAGTGAAAATTTTATAAATCTGCACGGATACGTAAATTTGGCAAAATTTTTGTAACATTTCGTTGTGAATCAATCATTGAATAATATAAGAACAACAGCAAACTTGATTTCAAAGGTGTTTCAACGACGAATGGATGGATCGGAAAATTTTTATAGAAATTATTCTGACTACGTGAAGGGGTTTGGAAAAGCTGATAGAGAAATGTGGCTTGGTAAGTTTATTTACTTTCATTATTGTTGGAATATTTGCAATTTAACAATTTTGAATGAAGTTGCGATAAGAAAATGTCAAAAAAATTTAATATTGATCAAAATCTGCAACTCGGTTGGTTTACTTGCCCAATTCTAAATCCAGAAGTCATAAAATTAAATATTTCCATATTAAATCTTTGAAATTGTATAAAAACATTCAAGTTAACATAAAAATTAAGCACCATTACCATGTATAATGATACCTCATTTGCGCCAATATCAACTTCAGGTCTGGAAACGTTGAATCTGATTACGAATAAATATGATTGTGAACTTCGTATAGATATGAAAGATTGGGAAAACAACACATCTTACGCCAAATATGGGTGAGTCGCGTGATAAACAAAAAAAAAAGGCAATGAATACCACATAGCTTATAAATGTGGGCTGGACTTTGAAAGGCCAATCTGTCACCCTATTTAAGAAAGTCGACATTGACTTCAAGTTTTAGTGTTATTTGAGCACGCACTCGGGAAGAAATGCTAGAGCAATGGAAGTTGGCTATTATATAATTTCTTCATTAAACTTGGCATCTTGGAATTGTTGTGAATTCGGAATAGCTATTTCTAATATTCAAAATATTTCATATTGATTGAATGAAACTACATAAGCTACAATAATGCGGATAAAAACACTCAAAATAAGATAGAAACGTACCAGACTACTGTAATATTACTAGTACAAACAAAAAATAAATGGGACCTCCTGAAGTATGCGCACCAAGATGGCGCACAATCTGAACTCAGGTTGTGTACAAAGTTAGGTTTCAGGTTGTGCGACATCTTTGTGCGCATACTTCAGGAGTACCAAATAATGATATTCGTTTGACTGCTGTTGATAAATAGTCAAGAAACGAATCTCAAAACCCCTCAGACATACTGTAGAGACGCAGTTGAAGGACAGAAACATGAATAACGCTCTAAATTTCTAGGGTGTTTAAAGTTGGAGATGAAACTAACAAATATCACCTCACTGTGGGGGAATACAGTGGAAATGCGGGAGATTCAATGCGAAATCATTCTACAATGAACTTCACAACAAAAGATTACGACAACGATATCTGGCAACGTAATTGCGCTCAACGATTCAGAGGCGGTTGGTGGTACAATAAATGCCATCAATCTAACCCAAACGGCATTTACTTATCAGGAGAATCTGAGTTTGGCGTTGGAATCAGCTGGTTTACCTGGAAAACGCACAGATATTCCCTCAAATTTATTGAGATAAAACTCAGGAAAAAATCTGAAACTATATGATCTCGCGTGAACCTTGCAAAATAAACGATCATGCTGGCGTGTAATGAATATCAATTTGAATAGACAAAATTTATTGCTGGTAATTTTCTTTGAGCATAAATGAGATGAAGCAGTTCAAAAAATATTCATGATTATAATCAATCCCCCCCCCCTTTTTTTATTCATTATTCGATAAAAAAATTGGTAAATAATTAATACTATATCTAATTATACAGTCAAATTACACCGTATCTTCAATACGTATATCTAACATTTTTTAATTTTTTGACTTATTCATGCATGAAAAATGTGGTTTCCTTGTTAGATTCCTCCTCTTTCCTATTTTTGGACTCTTTATTCCTCACTCCATACGCATAAAACTACTTTATTTCTTCAATCCTCAAACGATTCTTTGCTAGTGTTATTCCCAAGTCGCTCTCTCCTATAGTATATTACATGTTCATGAAAAAGTAAGTAATATATCAATAATAATAAAATATAGATATTTGTAATACCACAGAGAATACAAAGCAAAATTTCTCTCTAAAAATGGCAAAATTCTTCCCTGGGGACAAATTTCTTCTTTCCACAAATTTAAATCAAATAAATAGGTTTTTCAGAGTTCAGAATTTAGGTAACGAAATACTTCGGCATGGCGTATGAAGTTGTAGCATCAAAAAGTGACGAGCTTGTTTGAAATCTTCCATCAGTCATTCAATAACAAGTCCCAAGCTTGTAGGTTTGAAATCAAGAACCTAAAACAATAGTTTTCAATCTCAACCTTGTTGCCTAAATTTCCCCCACTATACTTTTGTACTCATTCGCTATGCATAAAACTACTTTATTTATTAAATTTAATTTTGTTAATCATCTGTTATTATTCATTGTATTGTAGCTAGTTAATACAAATTTGTTTTTAATCGAGCTAGTGTTAGGCTGAAGTTTTTTTTTTTTTTTTTTACGAATCAGAACGACAAGTCTGGAATCCAGCCCAAATGCCTTCATACCCAGACTATGCCGACGGAAGTTTATGGATCAATTCTCTTTGTAATAGAGATCACCATTTTGTATACCACGTAGAGTGGTGGGCTTCCTGTCATCACATCCGCTATATGTGAGATGGTATTTACTGAGTTGAGGTTTTACGCCGGCAACTGGGCGTTTTATATACAAGAGGTTTGAGAAGCCGAATTGAATTATGGCATGTCCAAAGAACCGAAATGAGAGACATCAGAGGAATTTGATTACCTGGGGCCGAAACATGGTAGTTACCTTTCTTTTTACCGTATTTTTTTTTTGACGATTGATTCGGATGTTGAGGATTCTGTGGAAGTTGTTGTGTCCTTTTTGGTTCTTTTCCTCTGTAAGATCCACAATTGGCGGCGATAGATTCGACTCAAGGTCCGCTGGTGCAGATGTCGTTGCTTCCGGTGTTGTTTCGAAGACCGACGAAGACGTGGTGTCGCAAGACTCAAAGTTATCAATCCTTACTTTGATGTAAGGAAGGGGATGGAAAGGCGTGTTTCCAATAGTTGACGACTCCTTCAATCTGTAGATTTGCCTGGGGGGTCTTGACAGTTGTGGAGATGGAGTTTTGAGTGGACTCACTACAGTCCTAACGTCCTCACATTCAGACCAGTTTTTAATTTCTCTTAAGCAGTTTAACTCCGAGTCGGAGGTAGAAAAATCACCTACCTTGTCGGTTGTTTCAGCAGGTTGTGCATCATTGTGGCTCTGCTCTGTTATTTTTGCAGGTTCCACGTCATTCTGCTTCTGCTTTGTTGTTTCGGCAGGTTGCACGTTATTCTGACGTTGTTGTTGCGTATCTTTTCGCAGGGGTTTTCTTTTCTGCGGAGGCATGTTCCATCCTGTCACGGGGTTGGTGATGACTGGATCACGCTTCCGTTATTGACATTCTCTTAGTAAGTGACCCGGTGTTTTACAATACTTACAGACGGCTTCGTTCTTACATTCACTGTATATATGGCCGGTGGTGAGGCACTTCCCTCACGTCGGAGTGTATAACTCTCGTGGGAGGAAGGTCTTACAGCTTTCACCATTGATAACCACGTATTCCGGCAGACGGTCTTTTTAAAAACCGTCCATTAGGAATGACGTGTGCCCGTTGTAGACGTCGGTCCCCCGATACCAATTTTGGACTGCATTTCGTACCGTTCCACAGCCCAGCTTGTTGATCTTGATTACCGCCATGTTGTATGGAGTTTCCGCCGGAATTCCCCGTATGGAGATCCGGACAGGAGCTTCACTTGGTAGTGTCACAATGATGTTACTCTTAGCCGTTTGTATCAGGCCACCTGTAGAAGAAAGAAAACTCTCTCTGCAGCTAGAATTCGGGCTGTCCGTTGGCGCAAAGGTGAGGATCCAGATCCCTCTGCGGCCTTCGAACAGCCCTTTCACTTGATCGCAGAAACTACTTGTTGTGGTGTTGTTCCGGAGGACGTCCATCATCTTCGGGAAATCCATGTCTTCGTCGGTCTTCAGGAAGAGCGTCCGAGGTCGAGATGGTGCAGCAGCGGAAACTTCTTCTGTGGCTGGAGTCGAGGATGCGGCGGCGGCGTAGCTCATCGTCTTTGTCTTTCGTTTTCTTCGTTCTTCTTCGCTATCGAGGGCCTAACCCAGTGAAGGGTTGCCTTAATCAAACAGCGAATAATCTGGCTGAAGGCTCTCTTGTTTTTTTTCATCTGTGTGAATGGACATCAATGGCCTAACATGTAGCAAATTTTTGAGCTACCATTTATGGTGATCGATTACCATTTGGGATTGCTGCCTGCATGTAAATGGCCTGGCAATTGATGTAAATGAGTGACTTTCGAAGATTTCAAACATTTTTGTCATCATATATATACGTTTCTTTCATATTCAAATATACCCATAACAATATGTCACGGATGCCGTCAGCCTTATAAGCGAGTTTCTTCCACTCACGCTTCAATCATCTCATTGGCATACTCGATCCGTATAAAACCTTAGAGTACAAGGTTTGATTTGACGATCGCAGCGTGTGTGAAGCACATTTAGTTTCGCTACGTGGTGGAACGGGACGTTGGCTCGAGGGTAGGTGAGTTGAGGTACATAGACAGTGGGTCGAGGATACGTGAGTTGAATTAGATAGACAGTGGGTCGAAGATAGGAAGGTAACAGGGATCGGAACGCGGGCCGGTGATAGAAAGGTTGAGGGAGATATGGTGGTGGCACGTAGATAAGTGGTGAGTCCGGGATAGAAGGGTGAGAGAGATAGGGCAGTGGGTTGAGGATAGGAAGGTGATAGAGATAGGACAGCGAACCGCGGATAGAAAGTTTGTATGAGATAGGGCAGTGGGTCGAGGATAGGAAGGTATGAATTAGGTGGCCAGTCGAGGATAGAATGGGGGGGGGGGGGGGGGGGGGGGGGGGGGGATATAGTGCATTGGGTCGAGGATAGAAAGGTTGGGAAGCTAGGGCAATGGGTGGAGGACAAGAATGTTGAGGGAAATGGGACAGCGGGTGTAGAATAGAAAGGTTGAAGTAGATAGGCAGAGCCATTTTGTAACTTGCCCTCCTGTGTTAAAGGTTGCACATGCCTGATTTAGCGTGATATAGTGCATTGGGTCGAGGATAGAAAGGTTGGGAAGCTAGGGCAATGGGTGGAGGACAAGAATGTTGATAGAAAGGTTGGGAAGCTAGGGCAATGGGTGGAGGACAAGAATGTTGAGGGAAATGGGACAGCGGGTGTAGAATAGAAAGGTTGAAGTAGATAGGCAGAGCCATTTTGTAACTTGCCCTCCTGTGTTAAAGGTTGCACATGCCTGATTTAGCGTGATATAGTGTATTGGGTCGAGGATAGAAAGGTTGGGAAGCTAGGGCAATGGGTGGAGGACAAGAATGTTGAGGGAAATGGGACAGCGGGTGTAGAATAGAAAGGTTGAAGTAGATAGGCAGAGCCATTTTGTAACTTGCCCTCCTGTGTTAAAGGTTGCACATGCCTGATTTAGCGTGATATAGTGCATTGGGTCGAGGATAGAAAGGTTGGGAAGCTAGGGCAATGGGTGGAGGACAAGAATGTTGAGGGAAATGGGACAGCGGGTGTAGAATAGAAAGGTTGAAGTAGATAGGCAGAGCCATTTTGTAACTTGCCCTCCTGTGTTAAAGGTTGCACATGCCTGATTTAGCGTATATATAGCGTGATATAGTGCATTGGGTCGAGGATAGAAAGGTTGGGAAGCTAGGGCAATGGGTGGAGGACAAGAATGTTGAGGGAAATGGGACAGCGGGTATAGAATAGAAAGGTTGAAGTAGATAGGCAGAGCCATTTTGTAACTTGCCCTCCTGTGTTAAAGGTTGCACATGCCTGATTTAGCGTATATATAAAAAACTAAAAATTTGAAAGTCTGCATATAAACTCAACTAAGGGCAAGCCGCAGTAAACAGTCTGGCGGGCCGTGGGTTGGGCAACCAATATATAAAGCTACAGCTCCTATGACCTATACCGAGCCGTAGTTGTTGCCGAATATAGGAGATTGAAAACATCGTCCTGAAAACTTTGGTACCGGGATGCATGTATACGATCAATAACTTCTTACAAATTTGAAAATCTATTTATCCATAGGAAAACTAAAACACATTGCATATGAGACGTTGATATAAACGTAAAACATATTTGTTATAAATTTCAATGATCGAGTTGAGTTGTCGGTGTTTTTCCACAGCAACAATGGAATAATGAATAGAATAATAAATAAATAGAATAAAAAATCTTTGGCGCTTAAATATTATACTGAGCTCAACAATGCCATGAATCTTCCAAAAATATAGAAAACTACTTCGATGTAAAATGGAAGTAAATTAAAAAGCTGTCAAATTTATTTTGGTTATCGGGAAAAGATTTCTAAAATACTATTTTGAGTACAACATGTACGTTAATAAATACATCGACAGTTTGAAAGTTGTATTACCAAAAGATAAAGAGGAAATGGTATGACGTGAAATGATGACGCATGATGGGTTATGCGGTTCAAATATTAGTTGACATTATCATTTTCGGTTTGACGAGTTTGTATGGTTTGATTTTTTCTATCTGTAAATCAGCAACAAAACTTCAAGCTTATAATTCAAAAAAGAAGAAACATGATATATCAATATTTGTTCGTGTTACTTATTGCGTGTTCAAGTCACGGTAAGATGGTTTTAAAATATTTGACCTACTTGGTGTAAATTAAATACTAAAATTTATTAAAAGTATGTATTTGTTTATCTGTCATAAAACAACTCAATTGTTTACACATAAAAGCTTTCACGTTATTACCCGAATTGAGTAATTTAAAAGGCCGGTTAGAACATTTTTTGTCTAGATAACGTAAATTAAACTACGGTTTAGTTCAAATTGACAAACTTCATAATGTTATTCCTGTAAACAGCAAAAATATCGACAAACTCAGAGGATCAGTATGATGGCATATCATACAATTTTGACTTTACGGTAAGTTGAATTACTTATGTTTTATTGTTGTTTTATGAGTACAGTCACCGAAAAGTGCGTAAATACTATTAACTTAGCATAGATCTTTATCGCACAGATTATATACACATTGAATAACAAATTTTCAGTAGCAGTAAACTGCAAAATGTTATCTTTTGAATTTCTTACGTCGGTGTCAGAATTTAATATATACAGTGGCTACATGTAGAATACGATCATATGTGAAGTCTGTTCGAGGAAATGTTGCATCTGTTGTTCATAATTTTGTACTATATTAACCGTTTATTATTTTAATACAATTGATTGTTGAGCATATTTTTTGTTACTTCTCAAGTGACCCCTTCACAAGACAGATAAAATAATTTACGTTTTACTCTGTTTGTTTCAGTTCTCAAGTGAACAAGGTAAGATGTGTTTTTTATTCTTATTTTGATTTGTTTAACGGCCCCAGAATCGGTTTTTATTTTGATTCAATTTGAAAGGATTTTTGAATAAGTATATATCTTAATCTCATTATGAGTAAACTAAAGCAGTTTAATTTATTCTACACCAGATTCAAGGGTATTTTAATACAGATTTGCGAATGCAGTTGGAGAAAAAGCTTACATCAATTCTAATGAACATTTTTGATGGTGATCTTGTAATAAACACTCAAATATTCGAAAATGTCGAATATTCTAGTTCCTCGTCTTCTAATGATGCCACTACTAATCCGTTCTATTCAGCGGTAAATGAGATACCTGAGAAATCTGCATTGAGTACAAGGACAGAAATTACGACAGGTTCAATCAATTTTTTTTGACTCTCATAAGCATACGTGTAGATCAGGTATAATATCAAATACTCAAATTACATTAATTTATATGAACACAGCGTAGAAGAGAAACAATTATACTATTGCTACGCTGAAATTTGCAAATAGGGAAATTTGTTAAGTATATCATGAGTCTAAGAAATTTTTATACTATACCAAATTTTATTTGCTAATTCAATGTGGGTAATTTGAGCAATTGATAAAGTATTTGAACTATAATGTCTGTAATATAATAAGAACGCGTCATCTATCGATTCGATTAACAATCTATTTGATCCTATTTCAAGCACTAACGAAATATACTTGGGGATGGCCGCTCAGTACTGACCGATTGATAACAAACGACAAAGATGATATTGGACATAGAGTGACCACTGACACGGATTCAACTCTTCTTCAGTCTTCCACTTTATCAACCTTCGTTGATAGGACTAGAGGAAGCTCACTTTCAGGTATCTGTACGCTACCAGCAGAACATTTCTGCCTTCCTCTTGATCACTAAAATAAATATCATGTTTATGTCAATACCAGAATTACCCGAGGATTGCACAAACATACACAAGAAAAACGCAAAAATTAAAAACGATACCGGTGGAGTGTTTGATATATATCCTGAACCAACTGAAAGTTCCATTGAAGTTTACTGTGATCTCGTCACCGACGGAGGAGGATGGATTGTAAGCATTGTATTTTTGAACGAACCCGGTATAAGCTGATTAAAAACTATCACTAGCATCAACTTGCTATATTCACTACGCTCTCATGGTTACAAATTTTATAAATCCGCGCGGATAAGTAAATTTGGCAAAATTTTTCGTTGTTGCTGAATCATTGAATAATATAAGAATAAAAGCAAACTTGATTTCAAAGGTGTTTCAACGACGAATGGATGGATCGGAAAATTTTTACAGAAATTATTCTGACTACGTGAATGGGTTTGGAAAAGCTGATAGAGAAATGTGGATTGGTGAGTTTATTTACTTTTATTATTGTTGAAGTATTTGCAATGTAACAATTTTCCAAATACATATCGTATACTGATTTCCCTTAATAAACGGCACAGGAATTGCCTAATTCTAGATTCAGACTTCATAAAACTAATTATTTTCATATTAAATCTTTGAAATCGTATTAAAATATTTGAGTTAACTTAATCATGAAGCACTAATACCCCCACCCTTGTCCACGGGAATGGGATTTCCATGGGAAACGTCTCTTGGGATGGGATGGGACAGCACACATTTGTATTTCACATGGGACACGTGGGTCAAGAAATAACAGATGATTTTCGGGGAAATGATGGTAAAACATTTCGTTATGGATTTCTTGTCCATATATTTGAGCATAGCAAAGAGCAACATGTATTCAGCATTAACACTATACTTCGTGAAGGGGCTGATGGGCACATGTATATATAATAGTTATGAATTTAAAGTGAACAAAGGCATAAATTTGTTGTTTGCATGTGGCATCGTACATGTAGTCCTATTTAGTAGACGCTAAACTTAAATTTAACAATTTTATTGTTTTCTAATGCGAGTCCCATGGGATGGGACAAGCATAGATTGTTATGGGATGGGACAGAAAAAACTGTCCCATGAACAAGCCTGCTAATACCTTTATAACACTTTGTTTGGTTCAATACATTGTTCAGGTCTGAAAACTTTAAATCTGATTACGAACAAATATGATTGTGAACTTCGTGTAGATATGAAAGATCGGGAAAATAACACAGCTTATGCTAATTATGGGTAAGTCGCGTAATAATAAAAAAAAATAATTATTTTATAACATATACCTTATAGATGTCGGTTATCTGATACACTATTTGAAAAAGGTGACATTGACCAAAATTTTCATTGTTATTTGAACACACACTCGGCAATAAATACTAGAGCAATAGAAGTTGATTGCGTATTGAATCACTTGACACGCCCATTCTATGTAACAGGGTTGAAGTGGTGCAAATTCGAAATTGACCACTGTTAATGGATAGTCAAGAAAACTAATCCCAAAACCCTCAAGCATATCTCAACTTTGAGTGTAGAAAAACAGTTACAATTTTTCAGGTTGTTCAAAGTTGGAGATGAAACTTCAAATTATCGGCTTACCATTGGTGAATACAGCGGAAATGCTGGGGATTCATTGTCACGCCATAATGCAATGAACTTCACAACTAAGGATTATGATGATGACATTGCGGGCTTAAATTGTGCTCAACGATATACTGGCGCTTGGTGGTTCAGGAAATGTCATAACTCTCACCTCAACGGAGTTTACTATAGAGGAAATTCGACATATGCAGAAGGAATTATCTGGCGTACGTGGAGGGGATACCAATATTCTCTTAAATTTATTGAGATGAAAATAAGAAGAAAATTTAAAGTTTTAAACTAAACTTAAAATTGTACGCCTATTTGAAATGTTAATGGATCAAAAGGTTAATAAGTTTTTTTTCGTAGCTTTCTCAATATTTCAAAAGGTAACTTTATTTATATATATATTGGGTTTGTATATATTTAATATGGAGTTGTTAACGATAGCTCACTAACATGCATCAAATATTCCATTTCAGTTGCAGTTTTCAATTAATAACTATTCGGATTTGAAAAAAAAGCTGAAAATTGGAAGTGTTAATACGTTATATTATATACTTTATGATATAATTGAATTTATTTAGCTTTATCTCGAGATGTTATATATGTGTACTATGGCGCGAACAAAATATGCAAAAAATTCAATATTTTAATCTTTTTATTTGCTCTGAAGACAGTGCGAACATTGATCAAGATTGAGAAGTAAATTGAGTTTTACATTGAATTATTGCACCTTTTTCGTTTTGATATTTTTTGAATACTTGATCAGCATATTTACTTTATGGAACTACTATCATTGACATATTGGTCAATAAATTATGTTATGTTGATTTTATTCTTTTATCGTTAAAAATACCTCTATAGAAAATGATATGTTAATGAGAAAGAATGAGCGAAAGTATGAATTAAAATGTATTGCGAATGAACTTTCTGGATATTGTTGTTACTTTAATTATTAACTCTAAACTAGTGTTTCATCCGATCAATTTATTTGTGGTACGAGGCGACTGACGCAATAAATTAGTGGGGCAGTAGATTAACAAGGAGTTAGGGAATAGGTGGACGGTAGGATGGGACAGTGGGTCGAGGACTGGAAACTACAGGGAGATTAAACCAGAGTCGAGGATAAAAAATTGAAAAGATTGTAAAATAATTCGGGGATATGGAGGACAGGGGGCAGTACTCCATTCCTATAAATAAATAATTGAACAAATATAAGATATAAGGTAAAATTCCAGGTGACCGTACATTTGAACCCATGCGTATATCCACGGGTTCAATCTATATGCGGGTGCTAAAACCCATGGGTTAGGGTTAGTATGGGTTTAACTATCCGTGAAACAAAAAAAATGGTACAATAGCATACAGGTGCAATTGTCATGGGTTCAAATGTACGTGGGTTCAAATGTAATGGAACCAAAATTCCAAGACCAACATAAAATTTTAGCTTCAGATATAATGAACACCAATTCACCGCAAATGTGTATATGGCATCGTAACTCAAAAAAATTGAACGTTGTTTTAAATTCAGCAATAACAAAAATTTTGATTCGGATAAAATTAAACATTTGGAAATAACCCAGATCCAAATTTGTGAATATTGTAAATGGCTTCTTTTTTACGCGGATGGCCTCTTCAAATAAACAAACTGTGTATTTTAATTTTTATACAAATACATAATCCAGCAGTTAATTAATTTAAAACCCTGGGGATATGTGTCACAGTGTCCTTTATACAAAACACGTAATGATACAGCTGTAAGTTAATTATAATAATATGACGAAGAGAACATGAATCGAATGAGCATACAAATTGAATTTAATCAAAGACAAAAAACTACGATTGGTCAAAATATAGATCAGTAACTTAGTTATATCAATTCTCCTATCTGCATGTATAAACAAGAGAGCGATGCCCAAATATATGAACACAGAAGCCAAAATGCACCGCAAACTTCACGACTAATGCATACATAATCGCCACAAAGTGCGCAATTTTTAGACGTCTTTACATAAATATGTACCCACACATACATTTCGTGTCCTATAGTATATATACAAATAACGAAGCTAGCGGTGAATATGCACAACTGATTATAAAAATAAAACAACTGACAGCAGTAAACACCTAAATTTTAAGGGTCACAATCATCTTTCTTTCAACTTGTTTTCGAAATTTTATTAAACGTTTTCGTTTAATTTAAAGAACATTTTGCCCAAAAGACAGCAGTTGTTGTTGCAACATTTTGATTGGGCTTCTTTCGTATACCAAGAACTTTTTTTTATGTACAGAATCATTTGTGTCGTCTTCAGATAGTTATTGAGATAATGCGGATTTTCTGCAACTAAATCCGAACTTCCAGATGCTGTAAATGCTATGTAAGATAAAAGCGTTTAATTTAGTTTATAATATGTGAATAAATATAATATATTCATATTATGAAACATTTATTATCAATTTGACTTCATGAAACTAACACAAACAAACTATAAAAAATATTTGTATCTGATATCTTATGAACCTGAATCAACATATCATTTGCAAAACATTCAGTATCTTTATATGAATTAAGAGATTGATGTAAAAAAAACATTAATTTATTTTCAGTTACAATATATTTTAGCAATTGATTTAATTCAATCGGACCGTTTCCACAGCTAACTACTTACATGCGGCAAGTGCATCTACGGTCGCTCTCAAAGTACTATTGACTGGTTCGCGTTTTGGAAGTTCTTTTTTAGGGGGCGTTTTAGGATCTCTAACATAAATTGTTTGATAAGTCTCGTCAACTTCCAGAGAATGACAGAATTGGCTGAAATTGTCACCCGCTGACCAAAAATTCATGACCACCTTAATAAAATAGAACATATTAGCCGTTTTCTAAATATTATTTTATACAGAATTGCTGCCTTGAATCCAAATCTAAAGGTGGAAGGAGTTTAAGAAAAAAAACTTAATATTGGTTTATACCTGCGACAGAAAATAATATGAGCTAGTAAAGCCAATGATTTTATGAAAATATATTCTTGATTTTTGTCGCCTCAACAGATTTTTATTTCGACGTGAGCTAGTCTGGTCAACTACCTATAATATTGGAAGTAAAGTCAGTGATGACGAAAGGTTTTGTAAGGAATCAGACAGTAGAAAATTTTTCAACGATACGTAAACATTGAAAAGGAAAAGAAATAAATATTATATCCCTTATTTCTTAACCTTAATTCGCTGCATTTCCAATCAAAAGCTACATATTGCTATAATTTTATGATGTAGTTTTACATTGATAATTAACTTTATTCAAAATGATTAAAAAAATAGAAAACTGGAGGATAAACAAAATCAATTTTAGAATAAACATACCTTGGCGTAGTCGTCAGGGGTGTAAGACACTCATCCAAACGAAATCACAACAATTTTCTTTCGAATCTTCTCCATGAGGTTTGCTATTTCAACAAGAGGGACATTATATTTGCATAGTTCTGTAAGACGGTCAAAACTAAGAGCCACTTGAACTGGTTTTACGCCATTACTGTGGCAAAATACTACTAGCTCAACACTATCATCGTATCCAAAACATGGCACACGACTTCTAATTTCCATTCAATATCCTATTAGGCATTTGGTTGCTTCATCGCAACAGTCATTAAAAATGTTGCTTTATTATGAATGACGGTAATCTTTAAAAGACCCTGAAGCGAGTGACCATCAATGGTTGATCGGATGGCTTGTGCTCAATCCTTGGCACTTCTAGGTAGCACTCCATATCCATGAACAGACACAGCTTTTTTGTTCTTTATGTACATTAATTACTCCCATTTGTTCACAATTTGTTGAATTGCCACGTAAATCTTACCTTCGGTTATCTTCACTTATATTCTCAGCTATGGTTTCTGAAATAATGAATAATTTGTGACCGTCAAAACATCTGAAGATTAATGTAATAGGCATCGCATTATTTTTAATTCTTCTGTTAAAATTATAAAAAAACCAAGTCGTTTTTGCAAATACTAAAATATTCCCGTATAAATGAATTTAGCTTTTGTTAATTTGAAGTGAAATAGGTTTTTGATACACATCTGTTTAGATATTATAATTCAAAGATCTTATTGAATATACCACGATAAAATAACTCAACGTATCACCAGTTTAACTGCTAACATTGTTGTCAAAGTATATGAAGATCAGTTGAATATAGTTAATACAGTTTGAATGTAAAAAAAAAAACGATCCAAACTACTAAATTTCTCTTTTCTATCACAGAAAATTCACAGTTTCACTCATATACTTTCTAAGATTATACTTTGATATCTTTAATCTAACGAGACTCGTTTAGCACAGCGTACTTTCGTTTATAGACATGCGAGCTAACAGTCACATATTTACAGGACGCGAAATCATATGCCACGTTTCTGTGAGCTTTAATAAACTCGTCCAGGCATAAAATCAAGAAAGCAATAGTAGAATATCACACAAGGAAGCAATAAAGAAGTTCAAAAAGTCTTAATAGCGTAACACTTCCCAGCTCAATAATAATCTACCTAGGCGTAGATATTTTACTCACTAAGAATAGAAATATCGCAGTTACTCGCCCTTAACATTGGTTCCCAAGCTTAAAACAGTCAGGTAAAATAAATTGTGTGTGCTTTGTTCAATATTTATAAAAGATTTTATTTGAAAAAAATTTGAATGTAAAATGTGAACCTATTTACACTTTAAGATTAATCTATCTATCAGAGATTAAACTAATTTGAACGAACTGTGACTGGGTAATAATATCTAACATATTAAGATAACCCCGTTGTTCATAACTTCTTTGAGCAATACCCAAAACAGGTGTTCCCAAACTTAACGTCGCGGGGCCTCGAAGTGCTGGAGATGATTTTAATTACATTGCAAATATGCTGACCTATTTCGTGAAGCACGAGCCTTCCTACGTTTACAACTTTGCATAAAATGATCAAATCTGTTAAAAAGTAAATGTTGCCGTGGGCTGCGTTATGATCACCTACTTATATAATTGATGTATCGCATTAAATATGTGCATACATTATAAAACGTTTGCTTGTGATATATCAACGTTAATATAGGGAAATAAAGCACAATGACATTGTATGAATTGTAAAAAACTATCGTTAATATCAAAGGATGACATATGTCTGCTTCATATACTAACAACAGAAAGATGAAATTGTACCATCTTGATATTAATGAATACCAACTTACCTTCTTCACTTGAGAACTGAAAGAAAAAGTAAAAACCTTTCATTCGAATATTATTTTTCTAATACCCATTCATGAATTTGCCGTTTGAAACTTTTCTATAAATATTGTTCTAGGACTTTATTTATCATCTATTAAATTTTAAGTAGTAGAGAGCCAATCCAGTCGAAATATATAGACCATGGCTGTCTGAAACGTATAACATTTTCAATGTCAGAGTTTACTTCTTTATATCTGGGCGTGTAAATCATAATCATAAATCATATAATTTACTAAACAAGACAAAGTTTAGTTAATAAATATTCTGATCCCATTTTGATGATTAGAGTTGAGATAAAATTATCATTTCTTCTCCGGCAATCTCATTTATATAATAATTTACACGTTGAGTGAAGATATTCAAACATGCTGTAACAAAACAATTGAATGAGTTTGAAACTCACTGTTATGATTGCAGTGCAAAAATGATCCAGCATATATCAATTGTAATTATTTTGAAAACAAATTAACATTTCGCTCAAACTAGGGTGTATAAAGACAAAATATATTAGGTATGTTGACTTGGATCTTTTACCAAAAGTTGCCACGAGTTGCCGACTAAAGTAAGCCGGAAGATGAAATTAATATTTTTTTAATAGCTTGTTCATTTTTATTGAAGTTAACCTCCAATACTTTAGCCCTATTCTTCTACTGCCTCTATCATATTTATTGGTAGTATTTATAAGTATTTATGGAGTAAAGTTAGTTGCAGGTATGTTGTATTATACAAGATTTAGGAGCAGTGTTTTCACTCTCCTTTACTTTCAAGTCAAGTCAAGTTTATTTCATGATTTGCGAATTCCTAAAATGTAATTTATTTTAAAAGTAGGTCCTATTTCAATCAATTATTAGAAACGTACTAGCTGCCTTTGAAAAATTAGATAATGAATGCCGATAAATTTATTGTTCGCATTGCAAATGACTAAGTTGTTGTAACGTTAGCCATGCACTATAAAGTCCAATATATATCTATCATGATATCAATAAGGTATATGTAGAACTTCCAAACATACATAATACAAGTAAAAGTTCATCATGATATAACGCAAATAACGTTATTGAATGAAACACATATCAAAATCCCCTAATAGTAAAAGAACCAGGGTTGTTTAGTTCAGTAATTTAGTTATATCTTATTACATATCTGCATATATAAATGAAAGAATGCTAGTATATATAGATAAATTTTTAACGTATTTGGAGCATGTATTTACGTTTACACTTAGTGATAAATTAATTGCATTACCATTTTTCAAAGCAAATCAAGATAATTTATAAAAATTGTTTACATCAATACTTTGTCTTCTACATCTTCGTCAGTCAAGAATGGAAGCGGATAAATAGCATATAAAAAAATTCCAATCATGAATTGATAGCTGTTAGCACATTCCATATGAAATCTCGGAGTATTTAATTTTGAAGTTTTTATAAAATTTTGTGTTAATGAGTCACATTGAAGCAGCTCTGAAGATCAGCTGTTGTAATTGCAGTCTTTTAATTTGGTCTCTCACTCAATCCAAGTACTTCTCTTATATACATGATCATTTCTCTATTCTTCAGAATGTTTTCTAGATAGTGTGGATGTCTTAGTGCATCCGATGTTTCAGATGCTATGTAAGTGAAAAGTGTTTACCTCAGTTTTTAATATGTAAATAAATACACATAAAAACCCGAATCAATTCGGCTTCATAAAATTTACTCAAACAAACTATTAAAAATTATTATGAGATTTTATAAAAAAGAGACGAATTAGTATTTACAAAACTAACTTCTTTGGATATTTTGTAAATTCATGCAAAATTCATTAATTTTGTAGTTACGAAACATGTAAATAATTGATTCAATTGAATTCATTAAAACAAATTATAATGCCAAAAAAAACCTAATTGAATGCGTGATTACACTATTTTGCCATCAATGCCGTGTATTATACTACAAAAGTTTTCCTCAACCAGTTACTTACATTTGGCAGCTAAGTCTACGCCAGCCCCCGAAATACAACTAACTGCTGCGATTGATCCCCATATTCCAGCAGGAACCTCTTTTATTTCCGAGGGTGTTGCAGGATCTCTTACATAAATTTTCCGACCAGTCTCGCCATCTTTCGGTTGATCTCCAACTTTCAGATGATGACAAAATTTGCTGAAATTGTCGCTCGTTGAACAAAAATTCATGACCACCTTAACAGAAAACAACATACTTTACGATTTTTTAAATACATTTTATACACATAATTGCCGCCTTTTATTAAAACCTAAGTGTGGAGGAGGTTCATACTGGATTGCAATTCATCCATGCCGATTATAATCCACCAGGCTGTTAACTGTGGCCCGCATTATGTGAACAGACTTTTCAATTTTTGAATGTATTTTATAGGCTAAAGTATATATGTTTTGTGATTTTGGTGGGATTTGGCCCCCTCTACATCCAAATGTCGGATCTCATTATTGCGCATGTATGACGTCTTGCGCTCTGGTGTATTTAGTTCATTTTAATCCTCGCATAACTTCGCGTTTTGTTCGACGAACTTGACGACGAACGCCGAAGACAATTATACAAACGAATTTTCAACCCAAATTTCCAATTAATATCATTCTGATTACTATCTTTCGCATCGGCTTTGTTTGTCATCACCGCATTTCTACATTTTCAAATTAATATATTCGTTTTTAAAGTTACTTCTAATACCGTACTTGTATTGATGTTTCAAAATACACGAAACGGTCTACTAAAAAGTTGTTGAAATTCACGCGACATTGGCGCACATTATGCTCATTTAATTAAGAAGTGAAACAATATCATAGCCACTAGAAATAATTAACAAAAACATCATAACCCAAATATAACACTCAATTTTGTTTTTTTTTCTGTCTGTTAGCGGAAGGTGTGCGCAGATTCTCATGCGTAGTCAAAAATTCTCAAGTGCCCTGTGCAATCCAAGCGTTTAATTCACCGACGTGCAAGTGACGTGCCTTGTCCAGATCAGTTGTTACCAGATATTCTAATAGTATTCGAATATTTTGCCAAGTTCTACTCAGAAACCAGTAATTATTCCATGCCAATAAACTTGCCTTTTTAAATTATGTAAATTCAAACGTGAATGAGAACTTGGCTGGTATCTGAGTTCGGTACAAATGTTTGCGGCCCGCAATGAATTTTGCCATTTGAAGTGACCCTCGATACCAAAAAGGTTTGACAGATACATATGTTCTAAACAGATTTTATCAGCTAATTTACTTGATGTGAAGGCAAACATATAAAATTAGGAGATAACAAATTCGTTTCCAGGTTTAACCATACCTTAGCGCAGTCATCAGAAATGTAACACACTCCTCCAAACGAAATAACAACAATTTTCTAAGCCTTCCCATAAAGTTGGCTATTCCCATTTGAGATATATTCAGAACATCGCATAATTCTGTAAGACGGTCAGGAGCGAGAGCCTTCTGAACCGGTTTTGCACCGTTACTGTGGCAAAACACCACGAGTTCAACACATTCATCGCAGTTGCTATCTGAACGTTGCACGCGACTTCCAATTTCCCATATACATCCCAATAGACAATTTGTTGCATTAGCGCAAGATTCATGGAAACTCTTTGCTTTATTGAGCACGACCGTTATCTTCGAAGAATCAAGAGGCGAGTGGTTATAAATATAGGTGCTGAGGGCGTGTGCTTGATCTTCGGCACTTTTAGATGATCCTCCAAATCCGTGAACAAAAACAGCTCGATGCAAAGGATGTAAATTAATTGTGCCATTTTGATGACGATTTGTCGAATTGCCAACTCGATTTTGAATATTTTCACCCATGTTCGCAGCTAATTTTTTTATGAGAGCGAATGATTTATAGAGTTTATACCAGGTCCACAGTTTGATTTAAATGAAATTATATTCAGGTATAAAATTACAAGTCATTCTTCCAAACATTAAAATATTGCAGTTTTGATGGACTACTTTTTTCTGATTCAAACCAAAAAGAGTTTCTTGATACACATTGATGTAGATAATAAATTTGATTGGATATACTATGAGAAAATTGCTAAACAATTCACCAGTTCAACTGCTAACATTGCTGTATATAGATAATATACTTGATATGTCTAAAGAAAAACGATTCGAACTGTCACATCTCTCTCATCTTTAAAAGAAAACTCAAACAGTTTAATTCATATACTTTCTAAGATTATACGTCAAAATCTTTATCCAACAAGACCCGTTTAGCCACGTTTCAGGGAGCCTCAATAAACTCGTCTTTGCGTAAAATCAAGGGAGGAATAGCCAATATCGCACAGGGAAGCAAATAGCAAATTTCGATGTACGCGTAACTGTGCGTCACAGCAAAGCAGATTATTACTTAGGTTTGCGTATATATCTAAATAATGCCATATATAGGGCATCGTCGAATGCTGTTTCACGATAGACTCATTATGATATGACCCTACCTACCAAATAAAGTTCAATAAACGCCCAATTGCGCGTCATAGCTTACTTATAATCTAGTAGGCGTATATATCTTAATTGATAAGTCTTTTGAACGTTTGCTTCAATGAGCTAAGAAAATTCATGCACAATGAAATAACAGCAAAGTTCATTGAACGAAAAGTTGCGTGGGATAAATCAATAGTGAGTCCACCTATGCATATGATGTATTGAGTAATAAGATTACGTATGAAATATCACAGTTTCTCGTTCTTGATATTGGCTCACACGCGTACAACAGCTAAAAAAAAAGAGAATATTGTATGTGCTTTGTTAATATATTTCAAGATTTGTATATAAAAAAAGTTGAGTCTGAAAATGCGAACATATTTACACTTCAAGAAGGGTCTACGACTGACATGAGCAAATTACGGCCCGCTGGCCAAATCCTGCCCTATGGATGATTTAATCTGTCCCGCCCGTTGGTGCATTGAGTTTGTGCTTTTAACCAATAATGCGTGCACTAAATAGTTGTTGTTATTGAAATCAGCATGGTGCAATAGGCTTGTTAGAATATGATAGTAGTTCGTGTAAGTTGTATTTTAGGTTGCAACAAACTTTCATGATAAGGAGACGGTAATAAAATATTACGTTTTCTCGCTCACTCGATTTAACACCTCTCGCTTCGTGTGTGTCACGTGTAATTCTTTCGTTACGCTCACATGGACCGCAAGCATAGGTGGAAAATATTTTTCGGCCCTGGATCAAAAAACCTTGCCCACCCTGGTCTACGAGCACAGTCAAAACTTACTTGAACGAAACCTACCAGTGACTCGGTCATATTATATAAAACATTAAGATAATCACGTGTCTTTAACAAGATGTGGCTTACAGAGATCAATAGAATTAAATTAATTTTAAAACATAGGAATTCTTATTCATGAATAATTATGTCTATGCTCCTACTTAATTCAACCACAATATGCCCAATCCAACCATCTCAAACTTTTAATATTTTGATTGAAATTGTCTAATCTCAAATTGTGGTCATTCCTCTATGCATTAGTTTAACGGGTGTAGGTTTGTGAAACCAGAACAATTGAGCAATCTGGACTACTAATGTGGAAATTGTAAAAGTAATTGCATAATTCAATCCATCAATCATTTTATTTCGGTTCTCTGACATAAACATCACAAAAAGTAAACAGACAAACAAAATGCAGAGATACTTGACAGGCGAGCATTTGGAATGGTGAAGTAAAAAAAAACTCGTACTGCATTCGTTCCAACAAGGTGGTGTGTGATACTGTACTCTCGTGAATAATTTTATTTTAATTCCCCAAAACTCAGAATCGGTCTATCGAAAGTTTACAATGCGATTGGTCAGTTTTGATCTATTAACATTTATACATGAGAATGGGTGCTATAAAATATTTTTCTTATTTCTTTTAGTTTGCTTAGCTTGACCATGACACTGGCAATGATGATGATATCATTGAAAGATAGAAAAAGTAATTGCATGTGGATGTCGTTGTACAATGACTACTTTTTCATTTACAGTATGAAGGAACACATATAATTATTTTTTTAAAGTTCAAAAACAGGCTAAACTTAATTTATATGCTAGAAAACTTTGTGATTTGCTCATTCACGTTCGTAAGAAATTCGCTCGATAATGTTTTCGACTATGGAATCCACTATCACAAAAAAGCAAATTTATTTAGCAGAAAGTACAATCAAACTAGTGATTTTAAAAATTCATATAATAAAAAATAAAATAAAAATTAGAGAAAAAGTGCATGAAAAACGCAACGCAAACTCAAAAACTTGGCTACACCAAATAATTTCGATTATTTTTGAATCTTCTTCATTTTCCAATAAATTTTAAATTTGCCTAATCAATATATATCAAGTCGAATTAATCTAAATTTTGCCAATTATGAAAGTTTGTTGTTTCTGGTAAATGCCAAAATGAACAATGTGAACAAAAATAAAACAAATTCAATTGTTCATTTTCAGTGTATAATTAAAGATATCTCATGCATTTTGCATAAGATACCAGTATACTCTGAATTATTTTCCAATTAACGTTAGCAGTTGTGCAAGTTCGTAATGGATGGGATTCATTCCAGTTTGATTTTCCTTTCAACAAACTTGAGATTGTAAATGTTTCTCCTTATGTCTACCCACGTGTTCCATTTTAACCCAACGTGGTTTGAGGTTGTTGTTTTATGCTTGCTAAAAGTCCCGGTTAACAGACAGGAATAACAATTGTTGGACCACCATCCACTGTCAGAATATATATTAAACTGAATTAAATCGAATTATATACATATTTATATTCAACCATATACAATAGTCTATAAAATTTATTAATATTTTAGTTTAATGATGAATAATTAAAAAATGAATCATCTAAAACAGCTAATTGTTGGTTGGCTACATGTATAGCACCAACAATCTTACCTGTATTTTGCATATTTTTATTCTCCATCCTGGTTTAATAAGTCTACTTCAAGTATATACTTCTGAGTGGACGTTAATTGATGAATATTTTCCCAACCTTAAAAAAATCCAAAATGTATATTTGAATTTAGAAATACAACTGTGTAGTAATCAAAGAATGATAATAGTGGCGAGATTTACCGCTCATATGAGGTAGGAGCTTTGCAAATAAAATATTACGCGTATGCACAGAAACTCATATATACAAGGCACTTTTGGGGTACATCGCTCGCTCTACCCGATTCCGGAGCTGAAATATGTCTTAGGAACAGAAAGTGTTTAGAAAAATTAACTGTGATGTGAGTAATTTGGAAAACCACACAGAAGACATATTTGCTGCAAATGGGATGAAAATAAATTCACTGGGCTACACGGATGTCAGAATCGAGTATCAAGGAAATAAATCCAGAGAAAGGATGGCGTAGTGCTGGCGTGGTATACGTGCAAAAAGTTGAAAATTTTGCCTGAAACCCATCCCACACCCATCTGCAACGGTATTCGTCTCTCCAAAAAGAAGAAAATTGAGTTGCCACCGCAAACTGAGGAAAATGTTGGTGCAATTCGTTCAATACTTTTTACAGAGTATGAAGATGTTTTCGACGCAAAAGAAAAGCTCGATGTCATGGATGGGAGACCGTTAAAAATTGAATTAACGAAAGGATCTCAACCATTTTCCTTGAAAGCTTCACGACAAATACCTTACGCTCAAAGAGATCACGTGAAAGCCGAGCTTGAAGGAATGTTGAAACGCAATATCATTCGGAAGGTTGAAGAACCAATCGATTGGGTTTATCCACTTGAGATAGTACAGAAGGCAAACGGAAAGCCTAGAATCTGTGTAGATCTCACAAAGCTGAATAAATACGTCAAGCGTCCTTTGCACCCATTTCCTTCACCCAGCGAAGCCGTGTCGAATATACCGCCAGGATCGATGTATTTCACTACGATCGATGCACTGAAGGGGTATTAGCAAGTACCGCTGGACGAAAGTAGCAGCTTGTTGACAACATTTATCTCTCCATTGGGGAGATATTGTTTCAACCGTGCCCCGGTGGGATTGAGCGCATCTGGAGACGTTTATTGTCACCGTGGAGACAAAGCATTTGAAGGATTGCAGTTTATACAAAAAGTTGTTGACGATACGCTAATTCACGCTCACACAGTTCCACAACAAGTTGAAAGAACAATTGAAATTCTAGATCGATGCAGAAGTAATAAAATTACACTGAATCCGGAGAAATTTATTTTCTGCAATAAATCTGTGAATTTTGTGGGCTACGAAGTCAGTGAAGCTGGAATAAAGGCTGATTCTGGAAAATTGCGTGCAATTGCAGAATTCCCGAAACCAGGCAATATCACAGAGCTGAGATCATTTATGGGTCTTGTGAATCAGTTAGGAAATTTTTCAAGCAAAATCAGTGCAGCTGCGAATCCTCTCAAAGCTTTACTCCGCAAGAAAAATGCCTTTGTCTGGGAAAGTATTCATGATGACGCTTTCGACGTAACGAGGAAAGTTTTGAATTCGCCTCCGATACTCGCATTATTCGACTCAAATTTACCAACATCATTGCAAACCGATGCATCAAGAACCAAGGGTTTAGGATTTGTATTGCTGCAAAAGCATATTGATGAATGGAAAATTGTGCAATGTGGATCAAGATTTATAACCGAAACTGAAAGTCGATATGCAATGTGCGAGCTTGAAATGTTAGCAGTCGTATGGTCTGTACAGAAATGCAGATTGTATTTGCAGACTTTTCAGTCGTGACAGATCATCGTCCGCTCATTCCTATTCTAAACAGCTACACGCTGGACATGGTCGTAAATCCGCGTCTTCAGAGATTGAAGGAGAAACTGTGCCTATAATATAATATATATAACCTATAATTTTAACGCATTTGGAAAAAAGGAAAAGACCATGCTTGTCCCGACGCTCTTTCGAGATCGCCTGTGGATGATCCCGTTGCTGGTGATGAACATGCGGAAATTGAGCGAGAATTCAGAAATGCTATAAACGTTTGCGCAGCACTCATATCTGATCCTGACGTGAAATATAGAAATGTCGAGTTGGAAGATTCAATTCTATCTGATCTACGCGACGCAGGTAGAGAAGACGAATCGTACCGAGATCTCTGAAAAACAATTCTGAATGGATTTCCTTTGAATAGAAAACTTTTGAAAAATTCGTTGCGTTCATACTGGCAAGTCAGAGATGATCTGTCAGTAGAAAACGATTTGATACCTTTGGGTTCCAGAATTGTGATTCCAAAATCCAAGAGATGTGAAGTATTGCAGAAATTACACGCGTCTCACCAGGGCGTTGAAAGAACAAAAAGACGTGCAAGACAATCGGTTTACTGGCCTGCTATATCCAGTGATATTGAAAACACTGTATACAGTTGTCAGAAATGTCAAGAGAATAAAGCCAGTTTGTCGAAAGAACCGTTGATCGCAAGTGCAAATCCACCGAGACCATTTGAGGACGTTTCTTGTGATCAATTTTCTCATGCCGGAAAAGAATTTCTGGTATATGTGGATAGGATATATGTGGATGGCCGTGTATTCATTCATGGACAGAACATCCAACTTCTCGCCAAGTCATCACAGTTCTACGAAAGTGGTCTGTTGGTCTATCAGTGCCCGTCCGTTTAAGATGTGACGGAGGCCCTCAGTTCAAATCACGAATGTTTCTGAAACGCTGGGGAGAAACGCTCGATGACGAATCTTTTCTACAAGGCTTACGACAAATCTGGTGTCATTGTTGGTAGAGGCCGACGCCGAGATTATCACGTCAAACTCCCAAGTGGCCGAACATATTGGCGAAATAGAAGATTCCCGTTTCCTGTAAAAGATGTTCCGATTCTTGAAGAGGAGGAAGAGAAGGAGAAAGTTGGTACTATTAGACCAGAGGAGAAAGTCAAAGTCAAGAAACAACCTGTTCCAGTTAGACGAAGTTCGCGAACTGCAAGAGGAGTACCACCTCTACGCTTCGGACAATATAATTAACCATAGAGTTTAAACCTGATAAAAAGTTTTATAGAGTTTGAAACTTAAAGGGGGAGATGTTGTATGCGCGTCCGGCCATTGTTTACGTGTGACGAGAAGTCCCGAGAAAGTAATCAACTGCCAGACTCGTACGCGATCCGCTCACGCACTTGTCGAATGTTTATCTGGCGTGCGGTACTGCTTTGTTTTGATCTTACTGTTATAGTTAAAGTCTTATGTTATGCTGTATCAAATCTGTGTGCATCACTCACTGAGTCTTTTCTAAACTTGCGAACATAGAACAGAACACAGGATCTAGAATCACTAAACTTCTGGCAGTTCCACCACTTGTTTTATGTTAAGTCGGTATTAATATTACATAAATTTGGCTGTACAGCAATGGTGAAATGAATTATGTATCACTGTTTTTTAAAGCACAAAGATAATGGTAAAACTATCTGAAATATTTATCAATGAATTAGAGAATAGGCTGAGTTGACGGGATAACACTCGGCAAATTTTCTAATTTACCATAAAAACAAACAAACAATCGGGAGCCATCTGTTGAAATAATTCGTGGCCCGAGGTTGCCGTGAAATGATATTAAAACAATACATACATAGTAAGATGAAGGAAAACAGCAAAAATATTTCAATAAAATTTTTTATCCTCTTGCAGAGTGAAAATATTTTGTTTTGTAAAAATGACTTTAATTGGTCGCATAACTTACCAACCTGTGTCTGCAAAGAATGTGAACTCGGAGAATATTGAGAGCTAAAAACATTTGGAAAATTATGCAACAAATGATAAAAAGCAATACAGGGACCACTTTGGTAATATTGAAACCTAGTAATAAAACTTTTTTAATCTCGCTTTAAAGCTTTTATAACATGATGAATTTCTAATAATAACACCTAAAAATAGGAAAATAACCATTCAAAGATTTTTTATGTGTATTTCCCTTGCCACAAAAAAATTAAAAATTTTTATTTATTCCATGTTCCACTATTAAATACCCTGAGAATACACAACAAACAAATTGTAAGTAGTTATATATCATAACATTCAATAATCGACAATGATAGTAAGTTTGCAGACCCTATTTTTACGCATTGAACAAACAATATTTTGCTTTTCGTAATTTATACATTTAACATATGTTAAGAACTGCATTTCCATTTATTAAAACTTTTTTCTGATTTCAAAAAATGTCCCCTTTTGTTTAGATAGGTACAATCTTGTTAATTTTATATATATATAGAGGGAGAGAGTTCTGTTTTTTTTTTCGATAACCTACCACTAAAATCATAGGTTCTTCATACATTTATAATGAATTATGCCAATAAATCAAATCTAGTATGCTCATTATAATAGATTATGAGGGCTATACAGACTGCTTTGGGGTTGATTATACAGATAAGAGATAAGCAGATAATTAACTCCTCACTGATGTTCTACGATAAGAACCGTAGACTAACTTTGTTATATTTTTTATCATCCCAGTATTGAATTCATTTACGTACAGTCATAGTTTGGTTTATCCTTCTTTTTTTTTTCTATTTTAGATGTAATTAGCCGATCATCAAATAAAATGAATATGGGTATTCAAAATTACCTTTGGTTTCATTGGCACTACAGTCGAATGTCTCGATTATAAAAAAAAACATGCTGTTAAATGCTATGATCAAAAAAGATCAACTTCCACTGAAAAAGCCGTGGCATAATTGAGCCGGAAAATGGTGCAGCAAATTTTTTACTCGGTGCCATGTGACATTGCAAAAATGACAAGAGGTTGCTGAAGAATTTTGCATGACAAACTTGTTACGAATACCAATGTCGAAGACTCCTGTAAATAGTTGAGTATGTGGCTATGAAAATATGTTATATGGTGTAAAACAGTCCAACACGTGTGCACGTGATGGATATGTAGTTCGAAACCTATCAGAGAGAATAACTGACTTGTCTGAGAAAATGACTTTAACATACATATAGCTTTCAAAAACGGGATTTTTTGCACAGTACATCATGCATTATAACCCAATATTGCGCAAATTATTGAACCTGTCATAGGTATACGAGTATACTATACGAGCCTGCATATGTACATGGTGCCGCGAATAATGGGAATATCGTTATAAATACTCTCATTTTAGTTCTAAGTTCTATTAATTATATCTGTCTTGTTCATTAAAACTAAATTTTATCAAATTACTTTGGGTTAACTATAATAAAATTTATGTAATATCAATTAAGCGGTATTTACTTATACGAAGTAAGAGAGATTAAATAACTCTATATTCCAAATAAATTCAATTCAAAATCATCTTAACAGTTCATTTAATCGAAATGAATGAAACACTCAGTTTCTTCTTCGAAAAACACCATGTCACCAACATGTCTGTAATAAGTATATGTATTGAAAGATGGAATTTACCTACTCGGCCACAGATAATCTTTGGAATATTTATTACCATTTATGATGTGCGTGAGATTGGCAATATCTTTATTTTTGCGATAATCCGTCATAAACTAGGTTGTTGACATAATTGATTTATGGCGAATTTTACCATCACTATTTTCATGTAAAGTATCTAAATATCTTGTATAGTAACTGTATTCTCTTTATAGATTCGCGTGTTCCTCACTACATCATTATATAACATTCAAAGTGCATTTTTATGTAAGAAAAACTATTATATACACCAACAAGTTTATTATCATGATATTATTTTTCAAATTCACGATATGAACAATACAAAAACAATTTGCAAGTAAATTAGCGTAAGCGTAAGTAAATAAGAGTTACATGATACCAAAAGTAAAACAATATGATTGTTGAATGGCTCGTATATAAAATACAATCTCATATAAATCACGACAAAAAACACGAGACAAGAATGAGGTGAAAGCATTATAATTATTACGGGTATTTATTGGTACCAACAGTTGGGTCTTGATAGGTCTAACAATTCTATTTTGGCTACAAGTTGCATAGCCTCGGCAATGCGCCAGTGATCAGTGTGTGAAATGTGGGACTGAAAGTTGCATAGAGTTCTTGACTTTATTTATATGTGTTTGCCTAATAAAACACACTAGAAAGGATAGGACACTTTAGAAATGGAACGGTTGCCTAAAATAAAGTGATTGTAATATAGGCATAGTTGTATTATTTTACAGTAAATAGGATGTATTTTGCTGTGTATTATTAGAAAATATATTAAAGCCTTTTTCGTATTTCGAATTAATTGTTTCTACGGAAATAATAATTTAAACGTTTAAACCAGAAACAAGAACACGGGAGTATTGAGTATTTGATAATACTAATCATTAAAAACAAAATATGGACAAATATATACCTGTAAAATAACGTTTTCGCCAATTTGTTTTTTAATATTTTTGTTTCATATATATCAGATATACGTATATCGCTTCTCAATGATTGAAAATACAAATGAGAATAAAATTTCACAGTGAATGCTCTTCATGTTGTTATAGTTGAATAATTAGCAAACACTTGTAATAATAACGCAAAGTTCAAAAGGCATAGCGGTATTTTCATTGTAAAGGTTTTACGATTGCATGATTAAATACAATATCAGTATCACAATTTTATTCACAAAGATGTATGAGAGACCAATGGGGCGATGATGGCATAACATTATGAATTTTGCAAAATTGGTTCTCTTGGCTTCTGAGTTGTAGGTGGTCATAATATTTCCAAGTGTCAATCTAGAAGAAATGGAAAAAAACATTAATACATGATTAGATTGTTTGTTTATAAACAGGCCGGTAGATGTCGCTAGTAGGTAAAAACTTCTGACAATTGAATATATTCAGAACTACATAGTTTTAAAAAACAAAATACAAGATTGTTGAAAATATGTCGCGCTTCAAATTCAGAAAGTTAGATGGACAAAATGCTCCGGACGTTAATCCTCATCGTCCACCCTACTTTTCCGAATATAAAGAACCAAACACATTCATTTGTTTTATTTCATCTCAAGACCCCGAACTGTGAGTACTACTCAATACTATGAATAGTACTTTTGAAATCAATTTGGCTCGAATTAACTATTTCGAAATTATTAAGAAAGCTGAACGTTTGTTTTCGATTACGTGTTCATATGTTTATCTGAAGTTGATAAACTTCGTCATATTTAGCATCTCGATCTAATTAACAGGATGAAAAACGTAGTTAATTATGTTAGAATTGCAATCAACAACAAGCAACCAAAAAGCATAATTTCACTGTACATACTTCATTGATTTTACAGGCTTGTTAAATATCAGCAATAGAATATAAAGTAATAGACTGATTATTTATGAGTAAAGAAAGTAGACTGGAATTTAGTTGAAGTTGCCAGGTTGGATTGCTACATCAAATAGTGTTAGCTTTTAATTTAATTTGTTAAGCTAACCTATTCAATGAAGCAGTACACCATGGTTAGTAAGTAGAAGAGAATTCTTTATTTTACAAATTTTACATGTTCTTGCTCATCTTACTTAACTTGATTTGTATGGTTAGGAAAAATAAAGATGATTGACATGTATGATACAGAAAAATGATTATTAAAAAATAAATTGTTGCAGGATGATTTAAAACGTTATCTGACAGCAAACATGAAGAAGCATGCAAAAATAAAAGTAAGTAAGAACCAAAAAGTTTTATTTTCTGCTCAGAATGGATGGCAATAATATCATGCAAAAGCGTCATATTTACTTTAGCTCTTCAGCACAGAAAACTTTTATCTATTCACCGACGCTATACTATTTTCAAATTAAAAAACTCGAGAATACCTGTTTCGGGGCTTTGTATTATATTATTATTTTCTTTGTTATGCCATGAACCCTGGGAGATGAAATTACTTTTATTTTTGACAACATTAAAAATATAAAAGATTAATTACTTACAGTTAGTATTAGTTTATTTCTATATTATAGTATATATATTTCATTTAAGTTATTTATATATCTGAAAAAAATTGAAGTTTCACACAAGTTCAAGTGAAGCTCTCGATCAAAGAAATCTCTATTTTAATCTCACTAATTTATCGAAGTTGGAAAGGTATAAAACTATATGAAAGTATATCAATAAAATAAAGAATTATGCATTTGCTCTACTATGTATCTAGAAACTAAAACTAAATCTGTTCAGAATAGCGATGGCCATTTCTTTCAATCACGAATGAAACATTTCATGATATATTAGTTCATCAACACAGAGTTGACTACTTTCTACTATTATTTTAAGCATTCTTATAGTGTTGTGACGCAAACTAACAACATAATATGAAAAACATGCATTGATATATTAGATTATAATTCATTTTATTTTTATTCTGTTCTAGTTTTTATTTTTTTGTTTTTACTAATTGAATATTTATGATCTAATCCAAAAGAATTTATGCTTTCTCTTACATCAGCAGCAAATTTTTGCAATCAAATTTGTCATTGATTTTAATTTTGCGACGAATAATATGGTTTCCATGTGTGGAGAATAGGTAGGCTACGCTTTAGTTAATTTAATAAAAAAAGGATCGATTATTTAATTTATTATGATTTCATAGAGATTTTGCATAAAATTGTACCAAATATTAATTATTCTCATGACAGCAAAATTTACTCGTCACCAGAGTGGCGTTTGCTTAGTCTTGATAAATTTAGTTGTTAAACAACAAGCACAATTGCGAATAGGATCGAGTTTCTAATCTATTCTCCAACTCCGTAAAAATGACGTCATAGGTTGAAGAACCTGATCATTTGTGGGTTAAATCTTCAAGACTTTAGGAAATTTAGTAAACGAAGGAAATTGTAGGTTTTGGCATTTTTACAAACTAACCACCAATTGATGCGTGAACGTTCTTTTGTCCTGCGTTAGTTCACATGGCGTTTGGCAACAAACATTTCAAGTGCAGTATACAATAGATCAGAATTTCAATTATTTTAGATTTTATCTCCAGAAGTTATCTAAATTTTTATTTTACCTTTTGTACTACTGAAATCTAATATTTCCTTGACTCAATTTATATTTTAAACATTCGGCGTTGGCTTTGTTACAACAGTATATACTAGGATAATGGATTAAATTAATATACTATTAACTATATATATTAATATAGAACGCACCAAAAAAAGTTCGATTATTTCCCAGAAATTGCTTTAAATTAGGTAATCTGTGAATGTCGAGTCGTCCTAATTGGTTTAAAATGCACAATTTATTCAGTTTCTAATCAAATTTATTAATATGTATAGCGCTAGTGCTGATTTCCTAATAAGGGGTGTGTCATAAGAAGTGCGAGAAAATTATTGTTTTATATTCCTAAAAATTCATACCACAGAAATACAAAATTGTCATCTACATTTTGCAGGCGATCCTAAAAAAGGTTCTCGCTACGTAATAGTTGGCAGTTAAGCGTTTTTTTTATTCTATTTCATCTACGGCACCTTGATCTACAAATATTTTTATATAACTTTCATGCATCTATGATATAGCGTTTTTCTAATTGACGATAATTACTAATAATTTATTTAGATTTTAAATACTCACGAAGAAAACTCTGCAGAAAAATTCTTTAGCCTTGAGCATATTTTAAATAACCTTTAATATGTTTTCTGTTCGGTTCTGTTCTTGTTTCAAATATTTATTTTTTATTTATTTATTTTATTTTTTTCTTCAGACCTATCATTTTCCCATACATTCGACCAAAGAAATTTGGAGATTCATGTTGAATGTAACTGTCATCATTTATGATTTCAAATTTTAAGTTGAGTATATAGATGAGGAAAACAAATCAGAATTGAGTACAAATACACTAGGACAGGGGTGTGCAACATTTTTATCGGCTGGCCAAATAATCAGCTTCAAGAACCTAACCGACCCACACAAAAAATTTAGCGGGAAAGGCAAGAGAAGAGAAAGCGACTGTCGCTTATTCTTACAGTAATAAATGCACCGGGCAAACGGTGAAAGATTTAACGCAGGCACAAGAGTAAAAAATATTGTGTATTGTTATCCACATGAGCGCCTTTAAACTTAAACTGTCGGATTACGATTTTATGCTTGATGTGAAAAAATCTGAATGTTGACAAGGACCACATTAAATGGCTTGGATGGCCGGGTTGAGGGCCGCCACCCGCTTGTTGCACACCTCTGCACTAAAATGTAAAAATTAAAAGCAAATATTTGACAGGCAAATATTTACTGAAATTTAAGAATTATCTAGAATTTAATTATTATTACTTCATATATTGGCAACATTTTACTTTAATTGTTCAAACAGCTGTTATAAATTCATACTTGTATACATTGAAAAAGTTTTTTTTTACTAGTGATAATGTTATTTTGATTAAACAAAGCTCAGACTAAGCGTTGGTTTGTTATCACAGAAAGTTTCAGAATCTGCTCAGTAACGTTGTCATCATTACTAACTATTTCCCGTCACCCAATATTGTTGCCAATCTTTCTCATTCTATATAAAACGATTTTAAAATTTTGAATTATTTACTTATTTTGCGTGGGTTCATATATATATCTAATTTCACGATTGGCAACATATCTACTTCACCAATTTGCGTTTAATTTACCTTTTTCAAACAGTCTTGATGGCAGTCTTCTCGAAAATAAAAAAAAATAGCAGAAAAGTTTTAGAACGAAGTCTTAACTTAAATAAAATAAATTAATGTTTGATTTAGTTGTAAACTCCGCTCAGCTCAGTCTTAATAATCAATCATTAAATTTAGTTCTCAGCTGTGAATAAGATTCATCATTACAGAATTCATGCATGCAGGTAAAAGAATTAAATTAAAATAACGAAATTCAGAAAGCTTAACAAACTGAATAATCAGTGAAAGCGAATTAATGCCAACAAGTAGAAGTTATCAAATTCACAAGAAAACTTAATTTTTTCTGTTGTTAATTAATAGTCAACAAACACATTAGTTTGAAATTTTTAAGAGATGTTATTGTCAGAAGCTGCACTTGGTACATGAAGGTATATTATAAATTAATTTCAAATTTTATCAATTTTATTTGCTTACTTATTGAAGGTTTTCGTGCATTTTATTTCTTTGTAACTGATCCCGGCGTTACTCCTGCAATACAAAATGTTATTAACGTTTATCCAAAATGAAAATTGTGTAGGCTATTCGGTTCATCTCAGTTATAAGTTTTAATAATAATAAATTTCGCCTGCGTTGTTTTACGAATAAGATGCAAAATGCTTATCAGGTATATTAGTGAAAACCTATGTTCTATTAATCTATAAAAAAAAACATTCCATTTTGAAATCAGAGCAAGTTAACTAAATAATTTTGGCTGGATTTTGTACTAACACTGTTCGCCAACGCCTATATTGACAAACAAACTCAATATTGATAAGGAAATAAAATTGTCTCAACCTAAATTAGTTCCGATTCAACCCACATGGTAGACCATGTTAAAACAGGTGAAAATTATAGCTGTATATCTATCAGTGTCCAGGGCTTTGTAAATAGTGAAAGTTTCACAACACATTATAAAAAGTCTCAAATTCAAAGGAATATGAAGCATAGGTTCGATCAAGATGTCATAACTTAGAATTTCATACTTTTTCTGGAAAAGGCAGTTTTGGTAGGCATGGGGTCATATTACATCGACAAACTATTGTATTACATGGACGTTAGTGCGCTTCACTTATTTCTCGTTCCGCTTGGATTCATAGAAATTTTAAACAGAATTTAAGATGTTTAAAGAAATCTAAATTTTTGGCAGATATACATTTACAAATTTTAAAACACCTGAAAAAAATACTAATTCTAATGTCGCAATTCTACAATATCATGTTGATTCTATATCACTATATAGAAGTTGAAGCTAGAACTAAAATCAATCTGAAACCGAATAATCAAATATAATAATAATTGAAATGTTATCTTTGATCTATTATTATTACTCAAATAATTTATTATTGTAGATAACTCATAGAAATTACAGGGTTACAACTCGGAGCAAGTTGAACATACTTTTTTTCTTAATTTTAATGTTATGGTTGGTCAGTTTGGTCAAGCAGGTTAAATGCATAGAAAAACAAGCTGTAGTCATTTCATTTACATCCGTAAATCTTAAATGTCTTTAATCAGCGTAGCTGAAGTGTATAGATATATTCTTTCAAGGTGTAATTTGTTGTGTTAATTTGGACGCGTCAAAATAGAATCCGAAACAGACACGACAAAAAAAATTTGGATAATCAAAATGATCACTAGTTTTTTTTTAGCTATCGCACATATTATAAACTCAAGCTGATTTTCTTTCATTGGTGTTGTTTAGAATCTTATAAGACATGTTGCCACAAAATTTCACTCAAAATTCTACTGTATCACTTTCGAGTGAATAATCTCACTGAGTCGCAAATTTGGGGAAAAGAAACTGATTTTCAATGAACCGTATTGAAATTCAATTCCAAATCAGGTTGTAAAAGCAGCTAAAACATCACCTGGCCTTAAAGCTTCCAACTTCTAATCGAAAGGTAATAATACAAAGCTAACTGTTTGTTCCGAAGTTTTAATATTTTCAATACTCAATAAAAGCTCACCACTTATTCATTGGCGTGCAACAATATGAGCATCATTCCTTTTTCATTTGTCCTGTATCCTGTATTTCAATAGCATCTGTAAATTTTAGCTTCTGATCAGAAATAGGACTTGGATTCTACACAATTGATGTAGCTTATTAAGATTAATCTAATTTCTCCATTTCACGATTACACACCAAATTTTGAAAACATTGTTGTCAAATAAAACTTCGAATTTCGCTTTGTGACTGATGTAATTTCAATAGTTTTTCACGGTTTGTATGTGATTCACTCTTTCAGGCTAAATCAAGTTTCTTTCCGATCTAACGTCTGACGTAAATGTTCATGTTTAAAATAAGTCACTGTTGAAGAACTCTAGACCAATTTGAAGATATGAATTATGGTATTCACTAAACCGCTTCAGTTAATTGCAATGACTCAATGAAAAACATTTAAAAAAATCTAAATTTACTTGAAACAAAGTTCATTTTTCATCCGCAAAATTCATGGAATTGAATACGTTTAAAAATTAATTCATGTTATATACCTCTTCCGTAAGTTTGATTTCAGCAATTATACACGACGCAAAACAATTTTCCGATAAAAAGAACAGATAATTTGATCGTTTTATAGTCCATAAAAAGAGACTTTGGATGCAAAAACAAAAGTAACTAATTTCCTTTGCCCCATAGCCATCAGCAATCATATAAATAAGCGCATCTGTCTCTGTCAAATATTATAAAGTTATATAATTTATTCAGAATAAAATATAAAAATACCTTTTATGTTCTATCCTCATTCCACTTATATAATTCGGCGTATGTTCTGAGTTTCAGTGTCGATGCCCTTTCGATTTGTCTATATTTATTAAGTTCTTTTTCTGAATAAAGATAAAATTTTACTAAACTAGTAAGAACAGCGTCGATTTTTCGACATTGCCTTTTGGCACCGTAGTGAGGGGAAATTTAAAATTATCGTTCTACGTTTATCTTAAACCACTCCGACGATATTGTTGCTCAGGATATCCTCACTTATGAAGTAATCTTTTGTTTACACAACAGTACTTGAGGAAAATGACATGGAAGTATTGTATTTTGTATATCGACCCTAATTAGCAAACGAAACGATACAACTGTGATTACAACTCAAATCAAAATTGATCCACTTTACTCATTCTTGCGTGTAATCATATACCCATTTAAATTTCACTTTATAAATTTGTTACGGAAATTAATACCAAATTAAATCTTAGAAAATAAAATACTTAGTTATAATTTTGTTCGGACATACTAATCAGATAAACAAATTGAAATTTATATTGTATCACTATAAATTATTAGCCCATTGCTGTTGGCTATGCCCTGTACATAAACGGGAAATTTATATATTCCGTTATGAGCTTAGCTAAGCCATCTACTTCTTATGTGTTTCTGATCAAGTCAATTTCTCATATGGACAGGAAAAAGTTTTTTTTATCCGATGTGCGTCAAATTATATTATGTTTGTTATAACAAATTTTGGATCCGCAATTGACCAATTTAACCAATTTTTAACTGACACCAAAAATACAACAATCATGCAAATTAATCGTTTTAATAGTAACCACATTCAGATTTCTATTCTTAAATGTTTTTATAAAATATTTGCATTTTTGCATATGAGAGCAATTTATTTCTAATAAAACATAAAATTTGTCTTACCTCATTGTTCATAGTATATTCTTGTCGTAATCGCAAGATTTTTTTTGTCTTGTGATTCTCACACCATTCGAAATTACCTTCTGTCGCCTGATCTGACGTATGTAAAATAACCCGTTTTATTTTGGGGACGAAACTACAAAATGAACAAGTGCGGTAGACCATATCTCCCCATTGTTACCGACGCGTAACTGTGCCTTTATTTTGGACAGAAATAATTGCTCTTTATCATGCATGGGGTATAGAGTAACCTTCTTTTAAATGGTCGTTATTATGTAGCCCACGTATATCGGTTCTTGAATTACTCACAATAGGTTCGGTTAGAGATTTAAAGTGAGAGAATAATTGTGACCTAAATTTCAGACAGGTAGTTAAGTACCTAGGGATAAATCGAGTCACAAAAATTGCGCAATCAATTGTAACCGCCAGGTTTATCATACTCGGTTAGATTTTATTGCCCTTTTTGATGTCCATTTAAATTTAGTTTGACTCAATATATATGCTCTGTATGTTATCGACAAACGATATATTTATTTAGGCTCTATCTTCTAAAATTATTCTCAAATTTGTGATCATATCAAGATTTAAATTTGACATGCTTGACGTACAAATTAACTCAAATAATCTCTAATTACTTTCAATTATCATCTTAGGAAAATGCATACATAGATTACTCAATTCAGCACTATGTCAAGTTGCACTTTGTTAGATTCTACCAACGAAATAATATTTCTCCAAATTGCACTCCTGCACTATAGAGACCACACCCTATTTTAAATATAAAAATCGATTTCAACACTTACCGAACGAAGATCTTCGCATTCCAGTCAACTTGAAGATCTTCTTTCAAATGACGCAAATGCACGGTTACGTGCCATGTTATATCTCTAAGCAGATGCTGTTTGCATTGGTGTTGGGTACTCAATCCGACAGAACACCTGCTGCACCTACTTGTGTCTCGAATTGTTACTTTAGTCGGAATATCGCAACAAATTTCGGGAGCTAAGTCAACCTGTTCTTCGCTAACATTGTAATCTTTACTGTTTCGTTGCGAAAATAAAACTTGGATCATAGACAATATGATATTAATTATTTCCAATTTCCCAAAATAACTTTAAAATTATGTGTAATTCAACATATTCATGTAGAACAACACAGATAATATTTACTATTACTATTATTGCAACATATTAAATTAGTTTTACCAGGATTTTGTTCCGTTTTAAATCACGATAAAATCATCAGGTTTCACATTTGTATTATTATTTAAATAAAACAGAAGCAAGATGTGAATTAGTGCTATCGCTGTTATATTTTATAATTCTTCTCTGGATCTGAGCTATTAACCAGAAAAATGACAAAGACAATCACACTAAGGCTGGATTTAAAATTTTTATTCAAGACAAATAATAGTATAACTTCTGTATATTTGAAGTTTTCAACAATTGATAATATTAATAAACAAAATGCGTTTTGTTTTTTCAGTTTATGTGTGTTTAACAATATCGTTTCGAATAAGAATACAATTTTAATACAATATATGTGATTTTCCACATCTGGCGATAGAATATCAACCATGCATCTCCGTTTTTACCACGTCGAATGAGAAAAAGTTTATTATTTATACAATTGCCACATTTTGGCCACCTGTGACTAATATACTTTGCTTGTTCGAAGGCATTTCAATGATCAAGAATTCATCGTGATGCGACATTATATCAACATACATAGTAATAGTTTGTAACGATATAATAACATTGTTTCGTTTGATGCACCTGTGTTGCTACAAACTGATTACTGTTCATGTTTTTCTTGCGTTGTCAAGTAGATAAGTTGAGCGCCAGGCCCAACAAGTATAGTTAGTGCCAACTTATCAAACTCTTGGATATATACCAATACACTCTCATACTAAACATGGTATGGCCATGCAGAATACAAGCTTGCGTCGATGCCTATTATTTATTAGTGCTTTCCAATGTATAATGCTTCATTATGATATATTTTGTCGCAAAAACTCTTAACTTGGAAGAAATAAACCATTATTCTCTGATTTCCCTTTCTGTAAATCTCGAACTATAAATTATTCCATGTTTAAAAATTCACTTCTACAAATACCTGCAATACCTTATTGGCCGAAAAGGGTTTTGAAAAAGAAATTTCAATGTAGAATACCTCACGTTACCAGTCGCAATACCGTGTTCCTATATAGCAAACAGACTTTCTTCCATGTAGCTAGAGTTTAACCACATTTGTTACACAACAGAAAACGTTGCAATAACAAAAATGTTGAGATCTAGTATGTACTTAACGGCTCCATATAACATATTTGTGTAGTAGTTAAAAGAGTGAATTATTTTTTTGCAAAATTGAAGACCAATCGATGCAACATTTTTAAGGTATGAATTTACCCGCGTTTAAGAACCCTGCTCTTGAACAGAATGCTGTTTGAGTCAAAAAAGTGGCAATATATACGATTTCGCGATTGCGCACAGGAAATGGAATAGTTTAAACTTCTACTGATGAAAGTAATTTTTTATGAGGCGCGTTTTAAAGAAATATTGAATATATGCAATGTAGATAAATTATTTATAATAAAATTGCTTCTTTTATAAGATTTTTATTCCCGGGACAAATTGTTATAGTCAAGTAGTCAACAGAACGTACAAAATTACATGACATCAAGGACACTGATAATGTTTTATTTAGTCCATCTAACGTTATCCATATAATTGATATTGTTTATGCATATTTTTCAGTGCTTCAGCCTGATCATAATAATCTCTTTTACAGGCATTCCGGAAGATGACGCTAACAAGCAACTGGAATTCGGTCTTGCTACTTACTGAATAGTGCGCGAAGAGCGCAGAAGAGCGCGAAACAGCGCAATGGTGAAGGAAACATCGCAGAATGGATGGAATCATTTTTCTTTCATTATTTATTAGCGTCCATGAAGTTTTAAACAATTTGATGGGAAACAGCATGCAGTAGTAGGGAATGATCACGAGTTTATATCAGTAATCTTCAACATCTTTAAATATCCAAACATGACGTGATATGAGCACACCCAAAGTGACTATAGTGACTTATAGTCACTTTGAGCACATCAATCAAAGAAATTTTGGAACTCCAGAAGTATGTGCACCAAGATGGCGCACAGCCTGAACACAGTATGTTTACCAGGTGAGAGTGCGTCATGAAGTATGTGCACCAAGATGGTGCACAACCTGAAAAGAGTATGTGTACCAGGTTAGGGTGCGTCATGAAGTATGTGCACCAAGATGGCGCACAACCTGAACACAGTATGTTTACCAGGTTAAAGTGCGTCATGAAGTATGTGCACCAAGGTGGCGCTCAACCTGAACACAGTATGTGTACCAGGTTAGGGTGCGTCATGAAGTATGTGCACCAAGATGACGCTCAACCTGAACACAGTATGTGTACCAGGTTAGGGTGCGTCATGAAGTATGTGCACCAAGATGGCGCACAACCTGGACACAGTATGTGTACCAGGTTAGGGTGCGTCATGAAGTATGTGCACCAAGATGACGCTCAACCTGAACACAGTGTACCAGGTTCGGGTGCGTCATGTTTGGATATTTAAAGATGTTGAAGATTACTGATATAAACTCGTGATCATTCCCTACCACTGTATACTGTTTTTCATCAAATTGTTTAAAATTTAACGGGCGCTAATAAATAATGAAAGAAAAATGTCTCCAACTCTTTTGCGCTGTATCGCGCTCTTTCCCTCTCTTCTGCACTCATCTGCGCTCTTTTGCGCCCTTCGCACTTTATTCAGTAAGTAGTAAAACCCACTGGAATTTGCTCTTTCTCTCAACGGTTTTCGGTATCAATCATTTTACTTATGTTGTTAATAAAATTGTATTATGGGCAGTCGTCATGTGTTTGATACCTGAATTTCTTTTTTGGACTATTCCGCCAGATGTCGCTAAAAATCAGCCTGAATTCCATTTTATTTTCAGTTTGAGGGCAACTCTTTGCAAATGCTTCCGATTAGGATATGATTTCCATATTTATTCCGGAGAGGCAAAAACCGATAAGAAGACTTGGTTAAATAGTTTCAACGGCCTCTCGTTTGGTCATCTATCAGAATTATTTGTTTTACGTGTATGGTGAAAAAAGCCTTAACCGACCATTGGTTATTGATTTTATATTTGATAATATTACTATTGAGTTTTTGAAATACTTGTATATATGAGCAGATATTAAGGTTATGCTGGGAAACAGAGGAAATGGTAAATGCCCCTCATACTGGCCTCGCATCATCAGACATATAACTCATGCAAGTATTGAAAACCCCCCTTTTGCAACAAGTCATGCACATCTGAACGAGTACCTTATTATGTAGCGCCGAACAGGAATTTTCAAACTATTCAAAGTTATGCTGAGTCATGGAACCTTGTCGAAATAAATATCCCCAACAGCACATATAAATAAGTATAAGATATATCCTATTTCACTGCCTAACAAAGAGACTTTTTGTTAGGGTGGCCAAATACTATGTGAACTTTAGCTACGGTTCATGAAATCACCTTTGAAGGTGAAATGTGTTCCAACAAAAATTGACCAGATTTGAATAAAATATTCATTCGGTTCATTTCATTGGATTGTTACGGGTGTCACTAAATTCAAAGACCTTAAAGCGCCGCGTAAGATTCAGTTCATTAAGTCAGCATAGCCATAGACCGTTCATATTTCACTTTTAAAAATAGTCGTTACATTGATTACAAATTATTCCCAATTTCTTTATTATAAATGCGCCTTCAATCTTCAAATTACATAATGATAAATTACAACTTTTAAACTTCATTCCAATTTATTTTTAACTGCATTTTGATTGTTGCACGGTTCATGCGTATCGGGGAAGTGAATATTCTACTTCAGGAGTTAACACGTATAAGAATTATTGAATACGATAAGTAGTGTCATACTAAAACGTTAGGTCCCTTATTAGAATGGCGACTTGCTTCACACAATCGTTTATACTTTTCCTGTTAGTATTGTCTTATTAACCCGGAATTCCGTTTAACTACCGATTACCCGTTTTAGGCGAATTACTTTATAAGATGAATAATCACCTTGTAGTAATATCTTACATGAACCATTAAAGGCGCGAAATAGCCATGCACTTTATCATTGGCACAAACTCGTTCACTTTTGGTTGGGCAATGATCAGATAACTCGAATGCAATAGCAGGGTTTCAAGAGAGATACCTCCGTTAAAAATAGGAATAAATTTGTGGGCTTTTTTAGACTTTCAGATTTCAAATATTTATTTAAAAGTAACTAAAATGCGGTATATTTGCATATTTTATTTTTAAGAATACCTAAATCGTTTATAAATTATTATTGTTATCTGCTGTCTGTCTAAATAAAGGCTGCTGGGTCATCAGTATATATTATTATTATACGAATCGTAGTTGGAAATTCATTTCCAGACAATGGTTTATGACCTCATTCAACTTAAATAGCAAAGGAAATTATACGACTCCAGACCCGTGATTGAATATTATCAATCTAAAATTAAAGAACCCAGACAAAGGTCGGTCGCAATTATAACGCAATTTTGTATGGGGAACTCAGGCGCGCCGTCCCATACAAATCTCGTGAAGAATTATGACGCTGGCGAAACTGGAAACTTACACAATGGGTACCCAACCATCGTACGTGTCTCATTATGACAATTACAAAGCAAAAAATTTTTGGCGGAATTTATGAACGCGCTTCATTCGTGTCGGGTGAAGAATCGTTCTTCATGTGACACACGACTAAAAGCCCAATGATGGACTACGATTTCACAATCTTAAATGGGATATTTCCAACATATTTCCCAACGTTACGAATACCAGCGGTATTTTCCATCTTTAGCGACGAGTAACTATATCTTTACAATACCAAACTTCCTCATAC